AAATTCTTCATTTCCTTAAACTGCAATACAAAATGTTGGCAAATTATTTGCCCAGGGTTTGGGGGATCTGGCTCCTCCATAACTGGCGCCACTGTGTGTGTGGGACCAAAACAGCCTCCTTTATTTTGTTCCATGTTAAATCCTGTGCTAGACTGTGACCATCACCTTTCTTCATTATAAGCCTGGGCTGGGGGGGTGGGGTGGCGAGGGAGTTGGGGACAAGTCTTCTTCTTTTATTTTACATTTTCTAAGTTTTCTATGAAGGTTCTGTATCTCCTGCTTTGCATTTCCTCCTCGTCTTCTGATGATCTTTCACTATTTTTTAAGAATTCAGAATCATCAGACTCCTCCCTAGCGATAGATTGTTTTCAAGCAGAGCGGATTTTTTCCATTGCTCCCTTCTTAGTATCTCTGCCACATGCCCCTTCTCTCTTTCTGACTCTCAAAGTAGCACAAAGACCAGAAGGTCTCTTCTTCCTGAATCTTATGTAACACTTCCTTAGCTGCCTCAACCTCCTGTCTTGTTTTCACTTTATCAGTTAACAAAGCATCTTTAACTAAGCTCCATAGAGAAAAGGTGGCAATGGGAAAACTGTCAGGACCCTCCTTCTGCAAGTCCCTTCCCACCTGCTCCCAGTCCGGGACATTCAGTCCCCCTCTGCTAATAAACCAAGGACTGGCTTCCTCTACTGTATTAATGAAGGCTTCTCATGTCTTTGCTTTTACCACTGTTCCTTGTTCTTCCAAAAATTTCTTAACCTGATATTGTAATTCTTGTTTACTGCTAGCAGTTCCCATCTTCATTCCCCCATTACTTCCCTACCGGCCAGGGACGACCCTGTCCGCTTAGCCCTCTTTCTCGAGTCTCAGTGGAACCTCCACTTGCCGGGCCTGCACGGCTGGGGACCGGGAACCAGCAAAGGACATCAGGGTTAAAAGGACACACACTCTGGCTGTTGCAGGATCAGAAGCCTTTATTTGTATAGCACCAGGGAGGTTTTATACCTAACCCAAAGTGGAAAGCGAGCCAGCAGGGAGGGGAGATCTTATCACCTGATCCTCCTTGGGTCAGTACCAAGGCAAGGCGTACTCAGGAAATGGGGTTGGTAATCAACCCTGAGAACGGGACTTACTCAGTTCTCAGCACCAGTGGGAGGAAGGCAACTAGAGACCAGAACTCCAGGTAGTCCCAACAGGTTCTCTCTTCCCTTGTGGGTTCTGGGGACTGAACTCACATGATCAAACTTGGTGGCAAACACCTCTAACTATTGAACCCTTTCTCCTGCCCACTCAGTGTGCCACCACACTAGCTTTGGAGGTGCTGAGAAATCAAACCCAGGGCCTAAGGTGTACTCTATTCTCTGGGCAACATTCCCAGTGTGTCGGAAAAAAATCTCAGACAACAAAGGTTTGAGGTTACTTCAAAGCCTAGTAGTAAAGTTTTGGAATAATGATGTAATCAGAGGCTACACATTTAAAAAGAACATGGGTAAAGTAGAAGAAGCACTTTGTCAACAAACCCACTTGATCTGAGGACCATCCAGAAGAACCAGGTGGACTGGAAAGTTCTGTGTGTGAGTTGTGTTACTCCTGCGTTGGTGCTGGAGGACATTGACCTTTCTGCAGAGTGTGACAGTGGGGACAGATGGGGAAGCTCCTCCTTGATTTTCGTGTACATGGCTTGTACTCTGTGACCTGAGGAACCCAGATCTTGTCCCATTCAAACCCTCTCTGCAGGGGATGTGGGTGGGGTTGGCGGGGCAAGGGTGGGGTTGGTGGCTCAGGCTCTGGTTGAGCCCCAGGCTGCAAGAGAAAAGAACCCCAGAAAACTCAGCATAAAAACAAAGATGATGTCACCTCCTCGGACAAGTATGGAGCTGGAGAGATTAAATCGCTCAGGGGTAAAGATCACTCACTGATCTTCCACAGGTCCTGGTTCATTTCCCAGCTCACACCTACCTGCAACTCCAGTCCCAGGGTGATATGGTGCCCCCTTCAGGCCTTCTCAGGTACTGCATGGGAATGCTGCATAGACAAGCAAGCAACGGATCCCTAAGTTGGCCCCATAGGCTCACATACTTGAATACTTGGTCAGGGAGTGGGCATCTTTGAAAGGATTAGAAGGATTAGAGGTGTGGCCTTGTTGAAGGAAGTGTGTCACTGAGGTTGGGCTTTGAAGTTTCAAAAGCCCATGTCAGGCTGTTCTGTCTCTTTCAACTATCTGTACTGTAGATCAAGAGGCAGCCCTCAGATTCTGCCCCAACACCAAGTCTGCCTGTGTGTCCCTAGGGTCCCCACCATGCTAAAATGGACTAAGCCTCTGAAACTGGAAGCAAACACCTATTTAAATGCTTTATTTTATAACAAGTTGCCTTGGTCATGGTGTCTCTTCACAGCTATAGACCCCTCTGGCCTCCTGGGGCACTGCATTCACATGGTGCATGGACATACACTCTGGCAAAACACCCATACACATAAAAACAAATAGTTTTAAAAGAAAGAAAAATAAATGGAGGGAAATCAGATTTCTCTAAAGAAAGAGATCCCTGAACAATGTTGGGGGTCGTTACAGCACGAGGGGAAACCTCCGAGCCCCTGCTACATGACTCTAGAGTTCCCTGCACTGGTCTACAATGGTCTTAGGGAGAAGCAAGGGAGTGGGAACTGACACAACTTTTTCTACAGAGTTGCCCCAGATACTACAAGGCCCAGGTTGGCCTTCAATTCTTGATCCTTTTGTCGCCTCAGCATGCTAAGTGCTGGGATCGTGTGTGTGTGTGTGTGTGTGTATGTGTGTGTGTGTGTGTGTGTGTGTGAGAGAGAGAGAGAGAGAGAGAGAGAGAGAGAGAGAGAGGGAGGGAGAGGGAGAGGGAGAGGGAGAGACCACGACTGGAGTGTGATGTTCAATAACAATCAGGGGAGGAGCTTGAGGCATAATCTACCTTAGAAGTTGAGTTGCAGGTCCCATGAAAACTGCAAAACAGAGGATCAGGGCTGAAGGGAAAATCCATCAGTGCTTCAGGATGAAGTAGGCATAGGTGACACCTCCCTGCCTTCCCCAGCTCTCAGGGGCTCCGGTTGAGCCTGGGCCCCGGCCAACTCCCACTCCTGGGTCTTGCTGCCCCCTGGCGGCTATTAGCAGCATCGCGGCGTCCAAGGGTCCCGGGGATGGACAGGGAGGCCACAGCTAAATGTCTCTTCAAACTGCATGCTGAAGAGTCGCCCAACTGCTGTCGCGGTTCGCGAGCCTCCCAGTCTGTCTGGGCCACACTGAGGAGCCGAACAGGCTGTCTCCTGCACAGTCCCTCACATCACAGCGTTAGTCCCCCCTCCCCTTTTTTTTAGGTGTTGACGTCGCCCTAGATTTAATCCAGGGCTCCTGCATGTCGAGCACGTCCTGAGCTACACCTCAGCTCCACTAAGTTTGATGTAACCCACCCAAAGAAAGGGCCCTGGTCTCTTTGGGAACACCTTTAATCCCAGCCCTCAGCAGGCAGAGGCAGGCGGATCTCTGAGTTCCTGACCCACATAGCAAGTTCCAGGACAGCGGGACTATAAAGTGAGACCAAACCACAGGGATGCCCAAGATTCTCTTCTGCCTGCTGCACCCCTGGGGGTGGGGTAGGGTGCAGCAGGCAGAAGAGAAAGGACCATGAAGGATTCCCGGGGCCTGTGGCCCCCCGACCTAGTACTGCACCAGGTGAGCCAGAGCAAGCTTGGGAAAGCTGGTACTTGGCCCAAGGAAGGGGAACATGGCGGTGGCCTGGGTGAGCTCCATAAGGATCACAGTTGACCCCGCCCACAAGACCTATGACCCAATCAAGAGTGGCTTTTAGTCTTCCTCCTTCCTTTCTTTCCCTTCTCTCAGCTTCAACATGCCAGAACCTTTGGTGCACGAGTCAAGATGCCACCAGCCAAGGACCTGACAATGGAGTGAAGGAAATGACCTCAATTTTGTGTGTTTGTGTTTCTGTGTATATGTCTCTGTATGTGTATTTCTGTGTGTGTGAACAGCTTCTTTCTCCTGAAATCCCCCACCCCATACACACACACACACACACACACACACACACACACACACAGTCAATGGAACCTAGGGAATGCTGTCCACCTTGAAAGCTTCCTGCTACTGAGCTACGTTCTGGCCCTTTGCTTTTAAAAAATGTATCTTATGTGTATGGTATTCTATCTACATACACACCTGCAGGGCAGAAGAGGGCACCAGATCCCATTAAGGTGGTTGTTTGTGAGCCACCATGTGATGCTGGGAATTGAACTCAGGAGCAGCCAGTGCTTTTTTATTTATTTACTTACTTTCTCCTTTTTGGTTTTTCGAGACAGAGTTTCTCTGTATTGCTTTAGAGCCTGTCCTAAAACTCACTCTGTAGACCAGGCTGGCCTCAAACTCACAGAGATCCGCCTGCCTCTGCCTCCCAAGTGCTGGGATTAAAGGTATGTGCTACCACTGTCAGGCCAGCCAGTGCTCTTAACCACTGAGCCCTGTCATTCCTTCAGGCCCTGTGCCCTTTTAAGAACTGGTCCAGGCTGGCCTTGAACGTATTCTGTAACCCTAGCAGGCTTTCCATCCCATGCCTAGGTCTCCCAGTTAGCTGGGATTACTGGTCTACAAACCATACTGTCTTTTGAGACTTGGTCAAGTTTGCAGGATGGTGGTACTGCACACTTAATCCCAGCACTCGGGAGGCAGAGGCAGGCGAATCTCTGTGAGTTCAAGGCCAACCTGGTCTGCAGAGCGAGTTCCAGGACAGCTGGGGCTGCACAGAGAAATCCTGTCTGAAACCTACTTCCCCTAAAGGACTTGTTCCTTCAGACTAGAGCACTGGTTCTCAACCTGTGGGTCACGCATGACCCTTTGGGGGTTGAAGGACCCTTTCACAGGGGTTGTCTAAGACTACCAGAAAACAGATATTTGTTTATATTATGATTCATAACAGTAGAAAAATTATAATTATGAAGTGGCAATGAAAATAATGTTATGGTTAGGAGTCACCACCACGTGAGGAAATGTATTAAAGGGTCGATGCATCAGGAAGGTTGAGAAACACTGCTCCACAGTCTCCACTGGGCATATAAGCAAGGCAGCAGGAAGGGTCTGAGGCAAATGTAAATGACAAGATATAAGTTTTGGAGCCGGGCCCACCCATCCCAATGTCTGGGTGCAGGTGTTACAGGAACCCTACCCTCAGAGGAGTTGCGACAACCACTTAGAGGCTAAGGCAGACAATCTCAGAGTGGTGGTCTTCTCCCATGGTAGCCCTCAGGACAGTGCCCAAAGCTATCCATGTTCCCAAGCCTTGTGACATGTGCTACCTTCCCGGAGAGCTATAAAGCAGCCCCCTCCTAAGCAACCTGTTGGGTCAGAGAAGCGACAGACCATAGGCTGCCACCTGCCTCCTTCCTGGATGCCCACCATGGTGGGAACTGGACAGATCTACAGTAAGGAAATGATGGAGAACTCGAAGGCCCCCGGACAAATAAGAGGAAGCTGTCATAGCACATTAAGTACTTATTATTGCAGACAGACAGACAGACAGACTGAGGTGATGGCTTAGTGTTCAAGTGGAGACGGCAGAGCAAGCTACAGGAGAGTGGGCAGCCTCCGCCGCTCTTCCTCAGAGCTGAGACTCAGTCAGAGACAGAAGCAGGGGAAGTTTCACAGGTGTGAGCAACCGGAGTGGAGGAGACAGGGATAGGAAGTGGCAAAGGTCCCACAGAAGTCCAGGAAGAAGTGGCCTCGGGCACATGAAGGCCAGATGGAGACCGTGGAAGCCTCAGAGATAACAGCAAGAGGAGAGGGGACCCCAGGTGACTGCGTGGGGCCGTCGGTCCTAGAGACGTAGTCAGAAGTTGGGCTTGTGCTTCTTGAGCTCCACCATGAGGTGGTGGATGTTGATGAGCTCGGCCCTGGCTGGCAGCGCCCGCAGCTGCGGCTGTGCCAGCACCCGGTGGAAGCGATGGTAGAGCTGGATCAGCTGGGTCAGTGCTCCCTGCACAGAGAGGAGAGTCAGGGTCACACTGACGGTGGCAGCAGGTCAGAGCCTCACTGGACTCTCAGACACAGCCTTCCGTCGTTGACCTCCCAGAGGAAAGAGCAGGCAATCAAGCTTGGGACATGGGCAAAGGGCTGGGTGTGGCCGGCACCTGGATGATGCTGGTTCCATTTCGAAAGTTGGTGAAACTCCGCATTACATCCTGACTGAGGGACTCCACCGACGCCTTCCAGGAACCACCAAAGCCACGGATCAGCTGAGTGACTCGGGCTGCCCAAGGCAGGGAAGGTGGTGTTAAGAGAGCAACCAGGCCTGAGGACCATCACCCTGGCGTTGCCTGCCTGGGGCACAGCCATGCTCACTGTCAATCCCTAACCCTGGTACTCCTCCATCCCAGTCATCCCCTCTGTGCCACCTCCCCTGTAAGCTACACTCTCACCGTCCTTTGTAACTCACCTCCCCACAGTCCCATGACAACAGCCTCATACCTTCTTCCCCTCGAAGTCGCTCAGCCTGTCCACGCTCAATCAAAGCTTCAGCCTCCTTCACAAACGCCACCAGACCCCCAAAGGGGGGAGACAGCAACTCTTCAATGAACTCCTACAGAGAAGTGCAAGCCCGAACAGAGTCAGGGGTCTTGGGAACAAAGGACCCCTATCTTGGACTGGGACGACTAGGAGGTGACACTCCACAGAGCAGCCAGCCTCTGTGACCTCACAAGGTGTAGATGAAGTCCGAAAGGATTTCCTCTTCCAAAACTAAGAGCCATGAGCTGGCTCAGGAGTGGGGAGACAGGAGACAATGACGGTGCTTGTCCCAGGCCCCCAGAGCACACAGAAGCAAGAAAGGAACCCACTCCTGAAATTGTTCTCTGACCTCTATGTGCTTCAAACATGTACTTGCGTGTGTGCTCACATATATGTACACATGTACACACACACACTCCCCTGCAAAGCAGAACTGGTTGTTTTGATGTGTCTACAAACACATACAAACACCGTTAAAGTTTTATTTTGCTTTTAAGTTATTAATATATAAGTGAAACAGACTGGCAGTGAGTTGTAATAACAGATGCACACTGAGGTCTCCCTGCCACACCCAGGCCCTACCTGTGTCCGTGCATTGAGCAGCTGCTGGAAACTCTCCACCTCTTTGCTGTCATCAGCAGCCCGCTCCTAAGGACACACTGAGTGAGGAACTTGGGAACTGCCTTGAGGCCACCACCTCCCATCATCCCACACTGCAGACACTGCCAGAATCCAGGGCTAAAGCCCTCAACTTGTGATGCTAACGAGCCATGGGCACGCCCTGCGGGGGGTGGGGTGGGGTGGGGAAAGGGATGAGCAGCATTACCATCAGCACACCCAGCATCATGTCATAGTTGTTGATCAGAAACACAAGCTGCTCCTTCCTGGAGGAGAACTCTGCAGCCACTCGGAGGACAAAGTTCTCCACCTCCACCTGCAAAAGACCAACAGAGGCAGCAAGTGAGAGCTGGGTCCCAGGTCCCGGGGCCCCCCATACCCACCTGCTGGGAAGCCTGCCCCACCCAGTCCCACCTGTAGCTGTCCCAGCAGCTGCAGTGTGCGCTCATTGGGGATGGTCTGGTTGATGCTGACAAGTGCAGAGGAGAACTCAGCATAGCGGCGTGTGATCTAGGACCAAGGAGGGGAGACGCCCATCAGCCTGGCAGACACAACTTCCCAGCTGCCTCTGCAGCTCCTATTCCCAGTCCCTCCTCCTGCATGGCCAGCCCACCACTGCACGTGACCACAAGACCCCCTTGTTACCCTCACCCGCCCTCACATAGTGGGGCCGAGTGTCCAGCCCCCCGAGGCGCTGGGGGTCGGTGGTGCGGACACTCTGAACGTTCATCTCCAGGATCAGCTCAAACCGAGGCCACAGCAAGGCAAGCACCTGCTCCCAGTACCTGCAGGCTTAATTAGAAGCAAAGGTCAGCTGGCTAGGGGTGCTGGCAGGCACGAGAGCGCAGCACCCTTCAGGGGAATGTGAGTGAGCGTGCGTGCGTGCGTGCGTGCGTGTGCGTGCGTGCGTGCGTGCGTGCGTGTGTGTGTGTGTGTGTGTGTGTGTGTGCAGGTGTGGCACCAATGCTGCCTCTGGGACACACACGGGATAAGTGAAGGGTGTCAGGTAGGAAGAACCAGGGGCAGGATGCAGTTGTCTGTGAGATAAAGAGCTGAAGCCTGTAGGCACTGGGACCAGAGCTCAGTGACCTGTCCAGAGCAGGGACATCCCTCTTGGCAGCAATGTTGCGGAATCGGAGAACAATGTGGATACAGAGAAAAACAGCAATGGCGTCGTAGCAGTCGGCCAGGTAGGACTCCAGGTGTTTCTGTGGTACAGCAACAGGCAGACAATTGAATGCTGGTTCGTTGTTCCAGTGGCTATGAGCAAATTGATGTACATGTCTAGGGGCAAGGTGCTGGCTAGGGAGACACCTCCTTCCCTGTCCAGGGGCCCTGGCTTACTCACTGGCCTCACAGTAGAAGCCAGGGCTGAGCCTGGCATGGAGGTAAAGGGCCAGGATTTAGAGGTCCTGCTGTCTGCTTGTGGAAACAGAGGAAGTCGCAGGTTCCCTGCATTCAGAGGTCCCTTGGAGGTCATGTTGTGAGATAAAGGCTTGGACATCTTGGAATGGGACCTCTTGTTTTCAACCCTGCCACTTGTGACCCCAGTGGATGTGGATGTGGAGGAGCCCTGGGAAGGGAGGGAAAAGCACAGGATCTGGGGGCTTACCAGAGTCATGGCGAGCGTGCGGCCCATGACAGCATGGAACAGGTCATGTGCAGCTGGGCCAGACACGACAAAAAATTCACAGATGAAAAGATATTCCCGGCAGGAATTGTCGAGGAGCGCGTAGTGCTGGCTGCGGAAGAGAGCTTCAAATGGATACTACGGGGACAGAGAGAGAGGGGTGGATCCAACACTGACCCCGCAGATATGGAGGCTCAGTGTATCCCAAGAACGAGAGCTCAGAAGACCCCACACATACCCTCCAGGCAGGGAGGAGCACAGGACACAAGAAAAGCCCTCCCCACTGGCTGCACTGCCCCCACATCCACTCCAGCTGCTGCCTCATGACAGTCACCCCCATGACCAGTCTCTAAGCCATGGCTCCTCGCCCCCTCATCACAGCAGGCAAGGGGGGATCAGGGGCAAAGTCCACTCTAACACCTTAACGGGTTGATCCCCGGCCACAGAGGGGTACCTCATCATACCCTCTGCTCTCCACGCTGGGCAGTATGGGGCACCAGGATGGGGGCCTCCAGTTCAGTGGGGGAGATGACAGCACCACGGGTACCCAGGGTGAAGATGGTATTCCTGCTTCGGAGGGATGGCTTCGAGAAGAATCGTGAATAGCATCAGAGTCAGGGAAAACAATGAGACTGAGCACACCAAGCCCAGTGAGCCAAGACCCGAGGATCCCGGGAAGCTAAATATGACCTGGACACTCCCTTTCCAGAAGCAGGCCTCACTTCACCTGACACCTGCAATGGGTGTCGGGGATTCTATAGACCCCCTCCCTCAAATCCACATGAAAAACTGACAGAATGATGTGTACCTCTGGGAGGGAAGCTCTGGTTCTTATACCCTCAAAGGTTCCGTCCCAGAGAGTTAAGCAGAGTTCTGTGGGCTGCAGCCAGGCATCCCCACTGTGAGCCTGACTTGAGGGGGGTGAGCCTGACAGGAGGGAGGTGAGCCTGACAGGAGGGAGGTGAGCCTGACTTGAGGGGGGTAAGCCTGACTTAAGGGAGGTGAGCCTGACAGGAGGATCCCCAGTCCAGGATATCTTTCTTCGCTGTGTCTTCTACACCCATCAGATCGTCTTTCTCAGCAACTTCCTCATACTAGAGAAAACAACAGAGAGCTCAACCATGGCTCCCCACCACCAGAAGGTGAGGAACTCCGTCCCTCCTCCAAGCCACTGCCTAGGGACAGCTGTCCCTGCCTGGCTCACCTGCACTTTCATGAGCCGCCCCAGGTAGGAGCGGAAGTAAGACAGGTAGATCTTGCTCAGCGTCTCCACATACTCATCCCTGATCTCCTTGGCTGTTGCTCGCTCATTGCCCAACAGGAACTGATAGAAGAATCTGGAAGGGCCAGGGAAAGTCAGACCCCAGACATCCATGCTGGGCCATTAAGAAACTCACAGGACACCCTGTGCCTGTCCCCAGGGTGGTGACCTGTACTTCAGCAGGGCTGTCTGGGGGATCTGATAGTTGGTCATCGGCTTTCTGAAGGAATAAATCTTCTGGAGGATGAACTCACGGATCTTTGTCACTGCCTAGATGTGGGGGACAAACAGGCCATGAAGTTGTGGGCTTTAACTGTATGGAAGGAAGGAAGGAGGTGACAGACGTGAAGGTAAAGGGAGGGGAGAGAATACACCCCACGTGTATTGTTTCATGGGGTTTTTGTTGTTGTTGAGTCAGGGTTTCTGTGTAGTCCAGGCTAGCCCGGAACTCACTATGTAGACCAGGCTAGCCTGGAACTCTTCCTATAGACCTGGGACTTACAGAGGTTCACCTGCCTCTGCTGGGGCTAAAATCACTCACCACCATGCCTGGCCTTATTTGTTTCTTTTTTTTCCCCCTTTTAAATACGGAATGTTTTATCAATTTTTGTGTCCTCCCTTACACAGAGGCCATGCTAATCTTCTCTCTATTGTTCCAATTTTAGTTTCTGTGCTGCCAAAGCAAGCAGTTTGTTTTTGAGACATAGTCTCATGTACCTCAGGGTAGCCCCAAACTCCCTGTGTAGCAGAGAATGACTTTGAAATTTCAGATCTTCTTTCTGCCACCTCCTGAGAGCTAGGGCAGCAAACAAGTGCCATCCTACCAATGTTTGCAGTGCTGGGTGGATCCCAGGGCTTCGGACACACTAAGCAAGCACTCAACCAACTGAGCCACAGCTCCAGCCTCTGGGTTTTCACGGGAACCAGAAGGCCAACGATGCACTGCACTGAAGGGAGCAGTGTGAGGTCTACTCCCCACCTTGACCCGGAGCCGGTCCAGCACGCCTCTGACGTCTGCACAGGCAGCTGTGCCTCTGGCCTCCTGCTCTCTGACTGCAGCTGCCTTGGCATCCAGTTCCTGCAGCTGTTCCAGGAATCTGGACTCTGTTACTGGAGCTTCCAGAATTGCTCTGCGGAGTAGAAAGCGTGGGGGTGATCAGAAGGGATACTCAACAGTCCTGAAACAGACCCAAACCACACCCCTCACAGCTCCTGTCATTTCTACCTTTCTCCAGTCTCACACCTTCATTATATGTACAAAGATTTAAACTCCTAAACCCCAACTCCCCATAGGTCCCTACTACACATCTAACATTATAATCTATTCATTGATTTCTAGAATGTAATTTTTTTTTTTTTTTTTTTTTAAAAAGAAGATCCCACTCTGTGGCCCAGGCTGGTGACTTGTAGCAATCCTGCTACCTGGACCTCCCAAGTATGTGATTATAGGCACAAGCCAGCAACCCTGGTCCCTAGACGGCACTTGATAGCCTCAGCCTGGACCTGTGTTGTAGAATGGATAGATAACCCAGCCCAACCACCTGCCCTGGACATCATGACCTTACAAAGTGACTCACGTGACCAGAGTCGAGGGCACCACTAGCCCATCTACAAGTTCCCCAAGTTTTCCCCGAACAGCTTGTCGGTTACGAAGCCTGATGTTCATGGCTCCTGACTGCTCCTGCAGGGTCCGAATCTCAGAGCTGATGGAGCTCAGGTCGCTCTGAAAAGCTCCCAGCATCTGCTCCATGCGCTATGGGGAGGGCAGAAAACACTGTGGGCATGCCATTAAGGTTGGCAGGGACAAATGTGCCTCCCAAGTATCTGAGTGAATACCCCAGTATCCAACAGCTCAAGAGCGTGGACAACCTCCACTTGCCCAGGGGAACAAAATTACCCACCCCCACACACACACACAACAAAACAAAAAAAAAACAGGAACAGAGAGTGTCACAGGATCAAGGTTGTCAGAGGCCACAGGAGAGGGACACTGACCTCCAGGACTGCATCGCAGGCTGTGATCTGATTGTGCAAAGACGCTATGTTTTCACTCTCTTGGATATCTGACCCACAAAAGTCAAGGTCTTCACGGCGAACAGAGAGCTCTGAAGACCAGCATCACCTCCCCCCCAGAGTCTCTCCAAAGTGACAGAAACCTTAGAGAGAGATGCCATCCCTCCGGGGGCTACCTGCATCACAGGTCCCCAAACCCCAGGATAAATCAGTAACACCATGTCTCCCTCTGCTGGAGGATACAGTCCCGGATCGATTTCTGCTCAATCTGCTCCAGCTCCAGCTCCACCTGCTTTGAATAGTGCCGCAGATCCACACCCTGGGGGAAACGACAAGGAGAAGTCTGGATGAAGCCACAGTAAAAGGACACCAGAACAGACTCAGTGACAAGGGGCTAGAAGGGACACCGGTGATATAAGACCAAGAGGAGGGGAGAGAGGGTTCAGATCAGCATAGGGGAGAACCTTACCGTTCTGAGGGCCTCCTTCACTAACTCATCCTCCAGATTCGCCTGGATGTGAACTGGAAACAGACATTCATCACTAGGGTCAGGCGCCATTCTCCTCTCTGCCCACATCTGGCACCTGCACACCAATCTCCCCTTTCCTTCCAACCCCGTTCTCTCTAGTTATAAGAACAGTCCCTTCAATTTTCTGCTTTCAGGTCCTCATAGTCTAGTCAACCACAAGCCAAAAATATTAATGGAAATTCCCAAACGTGGCTTGTACACTTTAAAGTGTGTGGTACTCTGAGAAGCTGAAGGACCTTGGATTTGCATTTTCTTTGCTGTATGAATCTATGGTATGTGTGTGTGGTAGCAGCCTGTCAATCATTCACTAGCTATCTCACTGATCAGACAGGCTGTCTGCACATGTCATGTTAAAATAAAGCTTGCTTTTCCTTAAATAATAGTCCCAAAGAGCTAAACTGGTGATGTAGCAATCTTATTAGAGTGTGCTGCTCTAATTATCCCACTCTTAATGCTCATTTCTTACGGTGCCTAAATTAGAAGGAAACCCTTCTCCGTTCGTAGATAAAACTTTATACTACATTACAGAAAACATGCAGGGGTTAGTATGGGGAGTCATCTACTGGGAGTTGTATAATATATTCCTAAAGGATAAAGGGGGCTGGATACTTTGCCCCACCCCATGGCACCACTTACCATCCACTTCATCGAGGATGAATTCATCAGAGGTGATATCCAACTCCCCAAGTTGCAGGGGCTCTTGGAGCCCAGAAACACCCCCCTGAAGAGGGACAGATTAGTGAATTAGGGATACAGAAAGAAACACTGGAAACAAAATACAACCGGATATCCCTCATCCAGAAAGTGAGATGGGGGTACTTTTTCAGGGGAGCCATATTTAGTGGGTCAAATATCCCGATGCACTCAAATCTACCTTTCTGGGCTAATGAGTAGAAAATGTCACAAAATCAAGCAATTCATGGAGTCGCTGGAGGTGTTCAAATGAGAAAAACTAGGATTAGCCTGACTTGCCTTTGAATTTAGGACCTGTTTTGTTTTCTCAGGTGATCCACCATCACCCCCTCAGGGAGCTCCAGATGGTAAAATTGTCCGCTTACATGCTGTTTCCCTGTGGGTCAGGTGCACCCTTACACATACTCACTCGGCTAAATCCTAACGACGACCTATAAGGTAGGTCTTGATAACTCCTCCTCTTTACAAGTGTGGGAAGTGAGGACATGGAAAACAACACAGCTTACTGGCGGGGCTGGAAGTGGAGCCAAGGCAATGAAAGTCCAGAGCCCACATTCCTCATCTTCTACAATATATTCTCTTTTCTACTAAAACAAGTTGTTGTTGTTTTCTAGCGTGAATAGAAAGCTGACAGTGTGTCCATGGGACCTGAGTTTCAGCCACTCTGGCGACCATCACCATCACCCTGTGTCTGAGCTCTGCCTACGCCTTACTGAGCATAGGGAAGACCTGACGACACTCAAGAACAAATTGCCCCGTGTTCGCTCTCTCTCGCTCTCTTTCTCTCTCTCTCACCAGCGGGCCCTCCTCCTCCTCCACATCTGAGACCCCGGCGCGCAACACCAGTTCGCGGGCAGCAGCCGCCATGGTCGCCGCCGCTGCCATTCCCCGCCGTCTCACTTCCGCCAGCTGTCAGGCTTAGAGCCCGTGTCCTGAAGCAGAACCACAAGTCCCAGAAAGTCTTGTATGGCGCAAAAGCACGTTCCCAGATATCTGAGCTAAAGTGATTGGCTCCAGTCTCCTCTTTCAGGCTTAGATCACTCCGGCCAAATGCAAAAGCGAAGGTGTCGTCCCAAGCGCAGTCCCGGAACCTTCGCTGCTCTCACTCCCCGAACAGGAACCTTACGACAGTAAAGACGACAGGACCGGAAGTTATAGTCCGGGAGCTAAACTCAGAATTCCACTCCTCGCTAAGGGGGGGGGGGGAGCTGTTTCCGGAAGCGCTGCTCCTAGGTAGCCCCGCCTCTTCCTCCGGGAATCTATATAAGAGTCACACGTCACTTCCGCTCCCTCTTCCACGGGAGGCCTACACGCCGCCGATTCTGCCGCCGCCATGGTAAGAGCGGACTCCGCGCCGGGATCCGGCGACATCTGAGCCGGGGCGGGGAGAGATTCCCGTCCGGGCTTCGAGCTTGATGCCCCGTGCTGCGGGCCCTGCAACTCCCCCCGAGGCAATGGCGCGCGGCTCCGGGAGGGGACGACCTAAGGCGTGAAATCCCGGGGAACTGGGGCCGTTGCTCCCCCGGACACACGGGAGCTGGCAGGAGCTTGGCCATCTGTGGGCGCCTCCCGCGTCCCCGGCCCAGGGCACACGTGGCCGCGGCCGGCGTTCCCACTCAGGTCAAAGGTCGCATCTTCCCGCGCTTGGGCGCTTGGTGAGCGCTGAGGAGTTTTGTGAGAAGTTAGCGGCTGAAGGGCCCCTCCGCCTCGTCAGCCCTGTAGCCGCCCGTGCCTGACAATGCCCCGTGTCCTTTCAGTCTCTAGTGATCCCTGAGAAGTTCCAGCACATCCTGCGAGTACTCAACACCAACATCGATGGGCGGCGGAAAATAGCCTTTGCCATCACCGCCATTAAGGTAAAAGTGTTAGCGGGTAGGAGGCGGAGACTTGAGACCCTGGCCCCGCGTTAGGGAGAGAGATGGTTAAAGTCACCGCTAAACTGGCCTTGCACGATACAAGCCTTAAGGTGCTCTAGTGTCGGACCAAACCGTGTCACCCGGGGAAGTGGGACCTGAGCGATCCTGCTCCCTCTCAGTTTTCGAGACGTCCTGGAGTGTTCTCTGCGGTGTGCTGTAGCTGCAACCTTTGGGAAGAATTCCTGTGAATCGACACACATAACTCTGGCATGTCTGTTGGAGGCAGTCTGCAGAACATACACGCGCGCGCACACGCGGAAGGTAGCATTTGTTCTAGTGTCAGTGGTGAATGAAAGACTTAAGAAAATTCTCTGCAGAGAATGTCCTTCTAGGTGAGGGCATTGTTAGTTTTTACCAGGCTTCGTAATTTTGGAATTAAAAACATCTTGCCAGTCAGTGTATGTGCTCTCTGAGGGCAAGGATCAGACTGCCATCTTTTTGTTTGTTTGTTTTTAATGTGCATTTCTGGAAACAGAATGACAGTGGATGTAGCTGGCAGGGCAGGGTGAATCCAGTGTCGGGGGAGTTGAAAAGCCAGGTGTGTGACCTGCCTTTTCCAACCTGACTCTTGCTGATCTCTGGAAGATATTACAGCCTCCTACAACCCAGCAAGGCACTTGAAGGCTAGGCACAGTGTCTGGAGATTCTGAGTGCTGGGGGTTCTGTTGATTATGTGGAGAGGGCAAAGATTTCTAATCGGTAAAGCTTGTTGGAGATTGGGGAGAATGGTTGGGGGCTTGAGGGGAAAGACGATGGGGGGGTCCTTCAGAGGTGTGGTGAAAATTGATCAAGAAAAGGTGAGACACAGTGGAGATTCTGCCGTGGTGCTTTGTTGTCTGAATTATTTTTGGTTTTTCAAGACAGGGTTTAACACACTCTGTAGATGAACCTGGCCTCGAACTCAGATCCTCCTGCCTCTACCTCCCAAAGTGCTAGGATTAAAGTTGTGCACCACCCTGCTGTTTTCTGAGTTCTTTAAGGCTTGCCTGCTGCCTCTGTGTCAAGGTGATAGTATTTGGATATCTGGAAGCATGTGGGAAGAGGTTGGACAGACCTAAGAAGTGCTGGCTGCCCTTGTGGGGGCTTCTGGTACTTTCAGGGTTCCCATCCTTCCAAACTGCTGTCAGTAAAAGATCAGTTCTAAATAAGTACACAACACAAAAACTAGACTGGTTGGGCACGGTGCCATGCAATTTTATTGAGATGGGGTCTCACTGAAGGCCTGACCACTACAACCAACCTACCTGGCATAGTGTAACTGTGGAGGCAGGGTTTGTCCTACTGTACCTGTGGCAGTCAAGATCACCTAGAATTGGCAAAGCTGTGAGTGCTGGGTCCTCTGGAAGAGCAGCCATTACTCTTAAACACTGAGCAGTCTCTCCAGCCACTAGTACACATTTTATTCAATTCTGGAATTTGAGGTGGGGCCACCTCAAAGTGTAGTCAAAGAACTACACTTATGGGTGTTTGTTTCTGAGACAGGGTTTCTCTGCCTATGGAGCCAGTCCGTAGACCAAGCTCTGGGGTTAAAAAGGTGTGCACCACCACTGCCTGGCTCTCCTACCTGACTGTTTTAACACAGACATTTTTGTCTAATTACCCAGGCATCTTTGGGGGGCGCAAGGTCACCTTTTGGGGTGTAGATGATGGTATGTAGTGATGTAGGGATGATGCATCAGATTGACTATTATTCGTTGTCAACTTCAATTTGGGGTTGCCTACTGGACATTGGCCACTGTCAACTTGTCAGATAATTGTAACCATCACAGGTCTTCGCTCTGATTCTGAACAGTAAGTGGGGGTGTTACCTGGGCTTTTTGTGAGCTGCGTCCCTCATCTCAATTCTTGATCAGCACAAAAGAACCTGAATATGTTGTTGATGTGGAAATCCAGGTCTTCGTTCTTCACAGGGCAAAATCTAAATGCATCAAGGGGTCGATAGCTGCTTACATGACTTCACATTAGAGTTACGGGGCCAGTGTGGTGCTGGAGTCCCTGTAGGTTCACTGTTAATGGGATTGGTAGGTTTAGATGGTAACTCAGGCTGGCTGGTAACAGCCCTGGGTTGGGGGATAATGGGTGAATGCCACCACAGCCAGTCTGTACTTGAATAATTCCCAGCTTTTCACCCCAGGGTGTGGGGCGGAGATATGCTCACGTGGTGCTGAGGAAAGCGGACATTGACCTCACCAAGAGGGCTGGAGAGCTCACAGAGGATGAGGTGGAGCGCGTGGTCACCATCATGCAGAACCCAAGGCAGTACAAGATCCCAGACTGGTTCTTGAACAGACAGAAGGACGTGAAGGATGGCAAGTACAGCCAGGTTCTGGCCAATGGTCTAGACAACAAGCTACGTGAGGACCTGGAGCGGCTGAAGAAGATCAGAGCCCACAGAGGGCTGCGCCACTTCTGGGGGTGAGTGGGGTGAGGCATTGCCTGCCTGCGTGAGTGGACTGCTCCCGTGCACATAGCCTGTCTTGGCCTATATGACCTGTCATTTGTTTTCCTTCTGCAGCCTTCGTGTCCGAGGTCAGCACACTAAGACCACTGGCCGCCGGGGCCGTACTGTGGGTGTATCCAAGAAGAAATGAGTCTCTGGGCCTTCACTGTTAATAAATAGTTTATATACCTGTGGCTTCAGTCTCTGTGTCTTGTGTGGCGGGATGGCAATGGTGTTTGGTGTGGTTGAAATGAAGCCCCTCCCTCTGACGAGCCTATAACCCAGCTCTACTTCCTGACTGGGGAGCAGTATGGTCTACTCCTCCCTTTCTGACTGGTACCACTCACCTTTGGTGCAATCCTGTCTGGGCGGAAACAGGAACAGGTGCCGCCGCCAGTGTTGGCAACCTCAAGGGGGAGCTTGGGCAGGTTTTAACTGGGTCGCTCATAGTTGGGAGTGCAGAGCTGTCGAAGTAGGTGCGGCGTGGCCAGATGCTGCTACCCGGGTGAGTTACTAGCAGTCGTTGGCCATTCCGAAGTGGGTGGTCTGTTTTGCCACATGCCTTACAGCAAGAACAGATACAGGAAGGGCTGGGCCATGTGTGCTGTGCGTGATGCTTGGCGACTTCCGGCCTTAAGTGGCATGATGGGAAAGTTGTGGGGGAGGGGCACAATGGAGGATCCGAGCTTGGCGTGTGGGCTAGAGGAAGACAGTTTGCGGGGCCATTGTGGACTTGGGGCCGTACCTCACGATGTGCCAGGTCACCTGTGCACAGGCCATCGTGTTTCATCAGCAGCCGGCTAGGGCCACTTTCCGCCTCCTGGCGCTCTAACCGTTCTGCCCGCAGGTCTCTGCAGCTCACCATGCCCCTCAGCCTCTTCCGGCGCCTCCTCCTGGCGGTCCTGCTGCTGGTGATCATATGGATCCTCTTTGGGCCCTCCGGCTTTGGGGAGGAGCTGCTGAGCCTGTCCTTGGCGTCCCTGCTGCCTGCCCCAGCCTCACCGGGGCCGCCCCTGGCCCTGCCGGGCCTCTTGATTTCCAACCCCCAGGCCTGCGGTGGCCCGGGACCCCCTCCATTCCTGCTCATCCTGGTGTGTACAGCCCCGGAGCACCTGAACCAGAGGAACGCCATTCGTGGGTCTTGGGGCGCCATCCGAGAGGCTCAGGGGTTCAGGGTGCAGACGCTCTTTGTCCTGGGAGAACCTACAGGACAGCACATCCCCGACCTGGCCTCAGAGTCAGCGTCCCAGAAGGACATCTTGCAGGCTTCCTTCCAGGATTCCTACCGCAACCTCACCCTCAAGACCCTCAGCGGGCTTAACTGGGTGCATAAATACTGTCCAATGGCCCGGTACATCCTCAAGACAGACGACGACGTGTATGTCAATGTTCCAGAGCTGGTGTCAGAACTGATCCAGAGAGGGGGCCCTTCAGAGCAATGGCAGAAGGGTAAGGAGCCACAGGAAGAGACCACAGTTTCCCGTGAGGAGCACAAAGACCAGGCAGTGCCACTCCTGTATCTAGGCCGAGTGCACTGGAGGGTAAGCCCCACTCGCACACCAGGGGCCCGGCACCATGTGTCAGAAGAACTGTGGCCTGAAACGTGGGGTCCTTTCCCACCTTACGCCTCAGGCACAGGGTACATACTGTCTGCCTCTGCAGTGCAGCTTGTTCTGAAGGTGGCCAGCCGGGCACCCCGTCTACCTCTAGAGGATGTCTTTGTGGGAGTGAGTGCAAGGCGGGGGGGCCTTGCCCCCACACACTGTGTCAAGTTGGCCGGTGCCACCCACTATCCCCTGGACAGGTGCTGTTATGGGAAATTCCTGCTAACATCCCACAAACTGGATCCTTGGAAAATGCAGGAGGCCTGGAAGCTGGTGAACCGACTGAATGGGAAAAGGGCTGAGCCCTTTTGCTCCTGGTTCCAGGCATTCCTGGGTGTCTTGAGGTGCCGGTTCATAGCCTGGCTCAACAGCTGAGCCCTGGAGCTACAGAAAAGTCAGCACCTCAGAGACCAGGATGCAGCTCTGTCCCTGTGGTGATCCATCTCCTCACAGCAGACTCTGAAGCCATTGCTGGGCAAGGTTAGAGACTTGGGGCCTGGCCTGACAGCTTCAGAGACAGTCATCAGGGAGGGAAAAATGCAGGAGGGCGCCAGGGACTACTGTACTGTTTTCACCAGCTGGGCCAAGAGCCCAATAAACCCATCTCCCCACCTCAAGTGCAGGTCTTCACCTGTCTTCCCCAGAAGCCAAGCAGCTCAAATACAGCTACACAGAAGTCCACCTTGGACTCTAAGAAAAAGCACGAGGCAACCATAGGTGTGAGGTAGGAGAGACAGGGGATGAGCTGAGTCTAGAACAGCCCCACTCAGAGAAAGAGAAAAACATCTCCATCTCCAGGATGGTCCACTTTTCACCCTCCCAAGTGCTGGCTGCGTGCTGAGGCAAGACACAAGGCCACAGGATGAATTCCCTTTTGATCTTTTTATTTGCTCGTGTGTGTGTGTGTGTGTGTGTGTGTGTTGTATGCACTGCATGGCACCCTGAATGAATATGCACTGGTCCACATGTCCACAGAAAGCTGAAAGACAACTTGTGTGACTGGTTCTCTTCTGGCATGTGTCTTCTGGGAATTGAACTCAGGTTTGGCACCTTTGCCCATCTGATCCCTATGGGCCATATTGGCGACTGCTGTCTCTGGCTCATCTTACAAATCTATCCAGTGCAGATGGGCGGGCTCCAGTGGGCTTGGCAGTCTCTTGCTGCTGCTGCTGCTGCTGCTGCTGCTCAAGGCTCTGCCTGACTTTGTCCTGGACACAAAGTGAGGAGCACAGGACAAAGTGAGCAGAGGCTGACTAAGGCTTAAAGCTGACACCTGGCCACCCCACGTTCACATACCCTGTGTTCCTGGTCCATGACCTTCCCCTTCCTCTTCACCAGGCTGGCTGTGGAGCTTCGGCCCTTCTGCTTTGCCTTGGGTTGAAAGGCAGTCTTGGCATCAGGGTCATAGCCCTGATGAGGGACAGGAATAAAGTCAAGAGCAGCCCCAGCCAGTCAGCTGAGGGCAGCACTCAGGCAGGGTGGGCAATTCCACAGCTCCATACCAGTCTCTCTATCCGCTCCTTCTTCTGCTGCTCTAGAGACACCACATCTACCTCTGCCAGAGCTCGGGGGTCCAAACAAATGAGCTCTGCAGGTACCTGGAGGGGTCACAGGACAGAAATGGTAAAGAGCCACAGCGCTCCAAAAAGGATTGGAAGCCAAGGAGGGCAAAGCCAGCCCCAGCAGGGCTCACCTTTTCCAACAGGGCCTTCACCTCCCATTCCTGGCGCTGCTTCCGGCTCCTATATGGGTTATTCTCTAAACCATCAAAGTTGGGCTCAGCGGACCCTAAGGGAGGAACACAGATTGAATCTAGTCCTGCAACTACTGGCCCTCCCCAGCTGTTATGCTCTCTGGCCCACTCACCAGGGACCAGCATGCTGGTGACACCTCCACTGTGCCCCACCCCCAACACGTCTTCAAAGGGGCAGAACTGGAGTCCATGCACTTGGCCTGAGAGTCGGTGGGTGAGGTAGGGCTGTTCCAGAGAGGGTGAGCTGGCCTTGCCCTGCCCTGCCCATATGTTGACCACATCACCCATTCCTGCAACTAATAGTCCCCGCTGGGAAAAGGCCAGATGTCCTGCTCCCTGGGGGAGGGTCCGGGCACTCAGGGGTTGAAATGTCCCTCGCAAGTCAAAGATTTTCAGCTGGTGGTCCAGGCCAGAAGTGGCCATGTATCTGTGTGGAAGACGGACCAATTAGTCTCTAGTGGGCATTGACAGGACCTGTGGCAAGTCTGGATGTGAAGGAAAAGACTAGCAACCACTCTGCACACCAAATGCTGCATCCCACTGTTTCATTTCATTTATTACTTATTGTCTGTTTTGAGATAGTCTCACTATGGAGCCCTGAACTCAGAGATCAGCCTGCCTGTACCTCTCTAAGGCTGAGATTAAGGGTGTATGCCCCACTGTTTTCAAGGCCAGAGAGGAAATCTGGGTCAGAGTGGCTGAGACAGACAACAAGTCTTTGGGTTTTGTTGTGGTTTGATGGGGAGGTTGAACTCAGGGCCTCTTGCATGCCTGCTGGACAACTGCCCTACCCTTTCCTCCAGGCCCAAGCCTATTTGGTGTTTGCCCCCATACATACTGGCCCACACTGCCCCCACAAGTCACAGATCTGTAGAACACATACCAGTCTATATCTAAACATGCATTCTACCTCAGAAGGGCAGCAGGGTGGCTCAACAAAGGCGCCAAGCACATTTAAAGATCAGGGAGGCCTCTCCTAACAAGAGGCCCCAGCTGTGATAGTAGACCATGAAAGTAGACATTTGTCTTCAGGGCTGGTGGGAAATATGGTAACAAGGACTATGTGGATTCCCTGAAGCTCCACAGCTCATTAGCCCAGCATCTCTCTGGCACTGGCGATACACATAAAGATGTAGCAAAGTGATGCGTGGACAGTGTAGTGCTACCCCATAGGTAAGCGGTTTTCTTTCAGAGAGAGGGGAGCTAAAGGTAATGAGCCTTGCCAAGGAGTCTCTTAACCTTAACCATGAGTGCAGGAAGGGGTTGAAAAATACTATGACAGAGCCCAGTAGAGTCCCAGCAGGACAGAAAGGCTCCTGGGCTAGTCATGGTGTGCATGGCTTTAATCCCAGCAGGTCTCTGAGCTCCAGGCCTGCCTTGTCCACACAGCAAATTCTAAGCCAGCCAGGGCTACATACTAAGACCATGTGCCAAAAAAGCCATTGGTACAAACCAGGAATGACTGAGACCCTGGATGGTGGTGTCACGTCCTCGGGTGAACCTGACACACATTGTCTATGGGATCCAATAGTAACTAAGTTCCATTCTGGCGGCCCTGCTGCTGGGCACACAAGAACCACCCCAGCTTCCCGAAGTCGGTTTAGGGTTTCCAGAAAGCCTTGGGGAAGAGGCTGCTTCACCTGCAGCCTAAGGAGAACCAGAGATAAGCAGGGACAGGCTGAAGGTCCAGAATGTTTGTGACTAAGATGCTGACCAGGCAATGAAGCCCTGGACAGGAGAGCTACAGGCCCCGGCAGGGTGAGCTACAGCTCAGGTCTAGTGGGCACTAAAGGCAAAAGCCAAGCTTCCAGGGTTAAGCTGGCACAGAGAGATGGGGCAGAACCAAATTGCTTGTTCACAAAGAAATGGCAGCAGCCAGAGTGACCTCAGCATCTTGAAAGCTTTTGCACACTGTATCGTTCAGACTTTCTCTGGCCTACCTCCTTGTTTACTGCTTTGTTTTGGTTTAAATAACAAAAAAAAAAAAAAAAAGGGTGGGGCACTGGTGGAGCACGCTTTAATCCCAGCTGTCTCTTGAGTTCTAGGCTACTCTTAAACCCTGTCTCATAAAACCAAAACAAACAAAAGCTACAATGATGCAGAAATTTCATGTAGAAAATTCCCTAATCATTGGTGTCAGAGGGAAGTGGCTTGTAGTGAATTCCTCTGAAAACAGGTCAAGGGCAAGCCACAGAGAACTAGCTGCATCATGCCTGTCAGGAAGGGCACAGATAGCGTGAGCTCCCAGAGGGACAAGGAATAGCAGGCGGGACTTCAGAAGTAACCACAAGCAAGATCAAGATGACCAAAAAAGTGCCAGACCTCCCAGAAAGCATGGAGAACATGAGTGTTTCACTGGTTTCAATATGTAGCCCACACTAGTTTTGAACTTTGAATTCTCCTGCCTTAGCCTCCTGGCTACTGGGATTAAAGTGTGCACTACCAGGCCCCCATCAGGTAATCAATGCTTTTGATTCCTGAAGAACTTGGGAACCATGGCTCAAAATGTAAAAACAGGCACTGTGGCACACACCCATACTCGCACTCAGCAGATAGAGGCAGGGGGCTTACTGCATGTTCTGGGTCACCTTGAATTATGGAGCAAAACAGCTATCATCCCCACGCACAAACTGTGGGCACGGCTGTAGGTGGGTTAGTTAGTAAGCCTTCCTTTAGCTGTTATCGGTCATAAAAATTAGTTCAGGCACAGTTTGAGCAGTGCCTAGAAACTAGGACACACTGTCATCCTCATCAGATGTCAGCTGAGACATAGCTAGGCGGTGGGGTGGTGCGGGGCGGGACAGGGTGACTGTTCTGGCATTTTCTTCAGGCACAGAGCACCTCTGTCAGCAAGGCTCTAGTCTGACCTGTGGACATTAGCATGACTCCCAGAATCTACCCTCATATGGTGAGAGAGGAGTTGGATTCAAGTTGGGGAAACTTTTCTAAATAAAATGGGAAAGCCAGGCGGAGGTAGCCCACATCTTTAATCCCAGTATTTGGGAGACAGAGACAGGCAGATCTCTGTAAATTCCAGGCCAGGCTAGTTTACAGAGTGAGTTCCAGGACAGTCAGGGCTACACAGAAAAACTGTCTCAAAAAAAAAAGAATGACGACACCGACACTTTAGGAGGGAAATGATGATCAAGAGATCCACCACAAGTCTTTACTGACAAAATGCTACCAGACAGAAAGGAAGTGCACCACCTGGGGAGTACTCCCATCTGTGCACAGGGCTGCAAGGACACACCATGCAGCCTGGATGCAGCCTGTGCTCCTGTCTTCCCGCTCTTTCTGCCTAGCCACGAACAACACCTCATCCCCAAAGTGACTTACGTGCCTGTAGAATCCACTGCCACAGCCCGCACCGCACCACGGTGACACAGAATTTTTGCCAGTGGCTCCTTCACAGCTGGACTCCACAAAGACACAGTGCCTGAAAGTGAGAGAAGCTGAGTTATTAATGCAAACCAGCCCGGATTCTTGCTGTTGTTTTAGCCTAAGGTTATTAAATGGAGGAAGAGGAGAAGGATGACTTCCAAGGACTTGAGTGGCTGGAGTGCCTCTCAGTGGAGAACTGATGTGTACACATGTCCTCTTGTGTGCACAAAGACCTGGGTTCAGTTCCCAGCACCACAACATGTATTCATGCATTAGCAGACAGCCAGAAAAGTACAACAGACGTAGTCAGTCAGGCTGGCACACATTTGCAGCTTCTGCTATGAGCAAAGCTGAGGCAGGACAGTTGCTGGAAACACAGGCTGTGATGGGTACCTGTTATAGGGTATTTGTACAGTGTGAAGGCGTATTGCTGTGACTGGTGTAATAAAAAGCTGAATGGCCAATAGTCAGACTGGAGGTATAGGCAGGACTTCCAGGCAAAAAGAGAACTATGGAACACTCAAGAGTCACTAAAAGACACAGTGGAAGCCCCAAGGACAGTACAGAGAGATGAGGTAACAAGCCATACAACAGAACATAGGTCAATATAAATAAATGGGTTAAATTAAGTTTTAAGAGATAGTGGAACAAGCTTTAGCTAAGGCTGAGCATTCTTATTAGTAAGTCTCCATGTTGTTATTTGGGAGCTGGCTGGTGGGACAGAAAAAAACTTGTATCAGACCCTGTCTCAAAGAAAAAGCCAGACACTAACCGTTACTGTGTCCAAGGTGGATGACAGCATTATACGGGTTCTGTGCCATGATGCTGAGCCGTCCAGCCCGGGCATTGAGAGCTGTCACAATCTTTCCCACTGATACATCCAGGTAGGTCAGAAACCCTGTCTCTGACTGAGAGAAAACAACACGTCCGGCTGTCCAGTGTCCCTCTATGGGTCCTAAAGGAGAAAGGTCCTCCCAAGGACTGCCACAGGGGCCCCTGCTCCACAGACACTCACACAGGTGGCCAGGAGGAAGTGGAATGGGAGGAATTGGAGCCGAGTTACTCGGTCACAGCGGCGGATGCAATGGAGCTCAATACCCTGGTTGTCGTAGATATAAAGCCAGCGGCTCTGAGCCACAGCGAGCAGAGCCTCAGAATGGAGGAAGCTGGGTAGAAATGGGGAGGGGTTCCATGAAGACAAGACCCCAGGGGTCACCCAGTTGGGATGGGGCTGACCCGCTCCCACCGACCAGCAGGCAGGGGGACACTGACTGGACATCCTGCACTGCTTCCATGACGTTGATCTCACACATGAGCTTCTTCGTCACCCAGTCAAGGGCGGCCACGTGACCCCGACGACCCCCTAATGCCAGGTGTCTGTTGGATGTGAAGCAAAGGCAGCGTTGATGCAGGCCCCGCCCTGAGCTGACTGGAATCATTCAGTCAGCCCCACCCCAGCCCCTCGACAGACAGGACGCGCTGCTGTAGTCAGCAACAATCAGACTAGGACAACCTAAAACCCCTGCCCCAATGAAGAGGAAGAAGGGGTGACCACAGGGGACCTGCAGGCTTCCAGGTGTGTTCACACATGCACAAGTAAACTAGGCCTTTGCAGAAAGAGGGAAGAACTCAACTTTACCTCCCTGTTCGAGAGTAGTTCAGTCTATAGGGTCCAAACTGCCTCAGATTCAGGTCAAAGTGCTGGGAGAGGGTGGAAAATAACCATGAAAGGATGAACTCCCCAAGCAGTCTCCTGGGCCCCTCCTCCCCCGGCTCACCTTGGCAGCACTTGCAATGTCCACAGCCTCCACGATGTCTGTCTGCAGTATTTTTGCTGTGTCTTCCCCATCTTCTCCCTCCAGGAACCTGAAAGTTAGGACGACAGCGCCACTCTCCAGCATGCAGCTGACATACAAGCAGAAAACCCGCAAAATCAAAGCCCCAGAAAGCCAGGGTCCACTCACCCAGGTTCCTCAGTAAGCAGCAGCTCAGCGCGGGCAGCTCTGACGCTCGCCTCTTCCTCCTGTGCTTCAGCCGCCTCAAGTTTGCTCCGGGTTTTAGGCTTCGAATGTGGGAGCTATGGCATTGTTGACAAGGTTGGAAGAACCGTGAAGTGCCAAAAAAGCCGCCAGCAGACAGGCCAGCACCCTCCTCACCCGGCCTCCAATCCCTCCCCACAGTCCAACAGGGCCTCACCGCTTTGGACTTGTCAATACGACAGAACTTCTGGGCCCCCTCCACGGGCGCGGGGGCGGGTCCTGGGAACGGGTCCTGGGCCTGGCGAGGGCAAGGGGCAGATTCTGATCGACTCGGCTCCTCTCATCCTCAAAAGCGCGGGGCGAGACTCACTGCCACCCGGTCAGTCCCAGGCTCACCCCAGACAGGGTCCGCGGCGGCTTCTTCTTCCGGTCTGTGGCGCTCTTCGGGGTCTGGGGCTTCTGGTAGAACCGAGACTTCTTGGCGCTGTGCACGCTCTGTGACCTCGGGGGTCGCGGCTCCCGAGTCCTGGCCTTCTTCCGAAGCGGCCCCGGAGAGGCGGGAGTGGTCTCCTCCTCCCAGTATCGCCGCGGTTTCTAGGGGCAGAGGAGAAGGGCTCGCACTCGCAGCCCGATCGGGAGTCCGACCCGGAGCCCGAGCCCGAGGGCGGCGCTCGCCTCCCACCCAAGCCGCTACCTTCCTCTTGGCCTGGGGTTTGTCTTCCTTGGGTGGGACACCCCTGCCCGGCTTGGGAGCTGTCTCCATCACGCCTGTGACCGATGCGAAACTACGATCCACGTGCGAAAACTCTCCACTGGAGTCCCACGGCCCTCTAAGCAACTTCCGGGCGTCCTACGGCCTTCATCCAATCATCGCCGTCTGGGAGTCTGAAGCCTCTGGCGCCATCTCGAGTGAGGGCAGGCCTCTGTGAGACTTGAGCGGATTGGCTCCCCCGAGATGAGCGGCTTCTTCTGACCAAATGATGAGTAAAAAGCAAGTCTGGGCCCCGAATCCGGGTGCCGATGAGTTCTTCTTTTTCTGATTAACTCCCCGGTCTTGTCTAAAACCTCTGGAGTCAAATCTTTTCGGTAGAACGAGGTTCACACAGTTCAGAACTACACCTCCCGACATGTCGGAGCGCAGCTTCCGGCGCCGTCCCTTTCCCGGCATGCCTTGTTCACTTCCGGGTTGGTAAAGACAGTGGGTATAACGTGAAGAGGTTGGGGTTTGGCTTGGAGGAGCACTTGGGGGCTCTGCCTTCGCTGTCCGCTCCCTGGGGAGTGTCTGTCGTGGGCGAGGAAGAGCTGCGGTGCCTCAGGGAGCTGCTGATAGGAAGTGCTGTCCTCCCGCAGGGCCAGAGGGGGCAGCTCGGGTGCCTGCCTTCCATCGCTCGAGACCCAGAGCCCCCCGCCCTGTAGGCTCGCACCTCCACCATGGCCGAACTCATCCAGAAGAAGCTGCAGGGAGAAGTGGAGAAATACCAACAGCTGCAGAAGGGTAAGAGAACAGAGGCGGTGTGTCCTTGCCCCGACCCACCTTCAGCTCGAGCTCACCGCACCGAGGTGTCCTGCTCCCCCCAGGGTGCAGCTAGCCGCCCCTCGCCTCCGTGCCCCCGTCCTCTGCCCGTTTGATGTCTTTAACAGTGCATTTCCTCTCACCACCTCAGACTTGAGTAAATCCATGTCAGGGAGGCAGAAGCTCGAGGCACAGCTAACAGAAAATAACATCGTGAAGGAGGTGAGGATCTGGGGCGCTGGGGCAAAGAGGAACTCTGTTGGGCACGGCCGTCTTATCAGCCATCCCATCCTCTCCTCAGGAACTGGCCCTGCTGGATGGATCCAACGTGGTCTTCAAGCTCCTGGGACCCGTGCTTGTCAAGCAGGAGCTAGGGGAGGCTCGGGCCACGGTCGGGAAGAGGCTAGACTACATCACAGCAGAGATGTAAGTGCTCGCCACCCCCCGCGCTGTACCGGTGATGCCACTGTCGAGCCTGTGCTCCACAGCAGTCCCCACTTCCCAAGCCCAAGGCGCCTTGGCTGGCCTGGGACTCTGTGTAGACCAGGCTGGCCTCAGTCATAAATAGGACTCTCTGCCCCCTCAAGGATGGGCTTAAAAGCCCAACTTCTGCATTCTTTTACCATTACACCATGGGGGGCATGCGTGCCCTGGCAAACATGTAAAGTCAGAGGACAGCCTGCCGCCACCTGTGTTCCTTCCTGCCATGTGGGTTCTGGAGATTGAGGTGTCAGCCTCCGAGGAAACCGGCCCTACCCACTGATCTATCCCAGCAGCCCTTAGTGTCCTGCCCCCCCCCCCCAACACTCAGCATTCCCGTCAGTCACCCTTTGCCACTCAACAGTGAGCCTCCACTGATCTCTCTCCTGCTTGTCTCCCTTTCCAATCCTCAGTAAACGCTACGAATCGCAGCTTCGGGACCTTGAGCGGCAGTCAGAGCAACAGAGGGAAACCCTTGCTCAGCTACAGCAAGAGTTCCAGCGAGCCCAGGCAGCAAAGGCTCCTGGGAAGGCCTGACCCCATGGAAGGGGGAGGGGAGGGAGGGATGAGGCAGCTCCAGGGTCTACATTAGAATAGCCAATAAAATGTAAACAAAGCCAACTCTTTCTACCCAGTCTTTTCCCTTCACTGGAATCTCTGGCACTGTTCTGGTGGTGTTTTCCTGGGGCTGAGGACTAAAAAGTCCAGGTCTTGCCTGTGTGCCTTCAGTTTTGAGTCTGAAATGTCTCAAGCTATAAAGATACAACCCTTTATCTTCCTTTACATTGGCTGGCACAACGCAAAGTCGCAGGAGTACAACCTTAAGATGCAATGCAGTGTGTTGTTGAGGATGTCAGTTTTGCTATAGAACCCACAGTTCTCTAGCCTGAGAGCCCAGGATATGTGGTCACCCAGTGTGAGCACTTGTCCCCCAACAGCCCTAGATCATTAGCTTGTCTTCGCTCTCTCTTCTTAGCACTGGTTTGAATCCAACTTGTTTGTTTAGTTTTGTTTGAGATAAGGTTTCTCTGTATAGCCCGCCTGCCTCTGCCTCTTGAGTGCTGGGATTAAAGGTGTGCGCCATCACCCACTACCCGGCTGAATGTAATTTTTAACTAATCTGAAATTCTTCCAAATTTATGTGTCGTGTCCACAAAGTTGTTCTGAGAGCTCTGCCTTGAGAGACATCTGCAGTGATTCCTGTCCTTCAGGGGCCCCTGCTCCTTAGGGTCTGTGGCAAGAGCCGGGAGTGAAGGTCATCAGGTTAACTGTCACCAGTACCTTGCTCTCAGGTTCCAGGATGGACCAGAACCTTGTGCATGCTGCCAAGCAGGTCATCGCTGAGCTATGCCAGGATCTCCTGGGAGTGGGGTCACTGACCCTTGTCCTCTGCCTTTTCCCATCCCACTCCTCAGTCCTAGCACCCAGTTGTGTACACTAAAGGATGGGAACAGAATTCAGGTAGTGTTTTGGTTTATTATAGTGTTGTCACAGTGACAAGAACCCCCCGAGTGGACAAGAAAGTCCCAACAGAGCGTCTTGTCATTGTCCTCTGCCCTGGCTTAGAGCCTCTGGGCCTTTCCTCGGCCCTTCACAGGCTAGTGTGTGGCAGGAGCTAGCACTCTTCCCAACACTGACAGTACGCCTCATTCTCCAGAGGCGGAAGCTATATGCAGGGGTCCAATTTGGTTATATGACCACCAGTCCCACGCCACTGGCTTTCTTGGTGGTTTGGTAAACAAATGGCACTTCACTGTCCCACAGACACTGGCCACCTTTCAGGATTTCTGCCCTAGTGTGATGGCCACCACTGGTGGCTGCTCACACCTGGTTTGAGTGCTATGACTTCTGTAAACCAACAGGACTTCATCCTCAGAACAGGACCCGTGCAATCTTCCTCCCTGTGGCTTTAATCCTGGGAAAGGAGCCCCCTCCTCCCTCGATTGGGGGAGTTCCTGAGGCAGAGGGACCCGTGGCACCCGGTGTGGCAGCAGAGAGCCTTCTGCGCTGCCGAAGGAGGAAATCGTGAGATGCACCATCCATAGCATAGAAGACATTGGCAGAGTGCGGGATGGTTAGCTCTGTGGGTTCAGACCAGGTGTCAAGCATTCATGTGTCCATCACCCCCACCACCACCACCCGCTTCCCTTCCTCCCCTGGCTGCTCACCTCGATCTCCAGGCAGCAGCTGTACCAGCTCAAACTCTGAAGCCACTGCAGAATCACGATTGTTTTTCTTAAGGACACGATTAATGACACTAGGAGCCTTGTCCTGGCTTGTTACCTTGCAAATGAGACCAGAAGAGCAATAAGTATATCATGCTGACCTGTTTCCTATCCTTCCAACCCAGCCAAAAAAAGGTCACCTGGGTCCAATGCTTTAAAATGAACAGGAAATCTATTATGGTGGTTGCCAGTACCCTGTAAGCCAGCCCACGTGGTGCCCAGTACAAGGATACTTCTCTGAAGGAAAACTGGCTGCTAACACAGTTGCCATCAGCATCAAATAACAGCTTAAAGATTCCCACAGAAGCTACAATTGAGTCCTGGCTGCCCAAACCCAAGATGACACTGATGTCTAATGCTGTAATACTTCCCACCCTGCCCAGTCCCAGGCTCCCTCACCAAAATGCTCTTGTAGACACTGCCATCTTCCCCCAACTCCATCTGGACTCGGATAATTCGGCAATCAGAGGACCCTGGTCCGGATACCCCTGCCCCACATCCAGCACCCCTAGAGGCCCCCTCTCCTGTACCCCCACTCAGTGGAGATCCGCAAGAGGCTGAGCGGCGGTGACCTCGAGAAGGCCTAGGGGAGGAGGCTGGAGGAGAGAGGTGACTAGGGCCAGCAGGACTATGCAAGGAGGGGTTGCTTTCCAGGGCAGAGTCCAGAGATGAGACGGATGGCCACTTCATGTGCTAGGGGCAAACAGGTGAGGTTGTGAAGGAAGGGAGGCAAAAGAAACGGCTTGGCGTAGTCAAAGAGTTAAGAGCAGAGAAGACTCACCTGGGCCAGCCTGGTCAGCAGAGGAGCGGGTGTTCCAGGTGCCTCATCTCCTCCAACGCTGGGCTGATCCCAGGGCAAAAGAGGGGTGGGGCCTCCAACAGAGCCCAGAACTCTGGAGAAGCAGGAAATTAGATAACCACAGGGGCAGTGGCGAGTCCCCATGAAACCAGCTCCCAACTAGCAGTGCTCCTACTCTGTCCACTGCGAGACGACCAGCGTTGGGCGCAGCATCCGTGCAGGAGAGTCACTGGTACCGGGTGGTTCCACTTCACAGGACACACGGTGACTGGAAAGGAAAGCCATGGGAAGATGTCAGGACATGCCACCCATGTCCCCAACCTGAGTCCTAGGACCCAACCACCCAGCAGTCACCTCTGAGCTTCTGTTAATGGCTGGAGCCCCTGGAGCCATTGTTGGATGTCGGGGTCAGGTCGGAGGTCATAGCCACGACATTCATTCTGGAGGCGCAGCAGCTCCGAAAGGACAGCAAACTCCTGGGAAGGAGCCCTCAAACTGCAGGAGCCAGAACTCAGGGGGCCCTGAGTTTGTCTCCCTCTCCCCATCCCTGGGATATGGACAGAAAGCTCCAGCATCCAGCCCCACAGTCCTCTCACCTTCCTCCGCTTGTCAAAATTGATGTAGCCATTCTGCAAGGGCAGAGGGACAGGGGTGAACGCACTAATCCTGCTCCAGCACCAGAGCACTCCCCAAACACAGCCACTCAGACCCTGGGAGTCCATCCCTCTCCCATTCATATCCCAGCCCAAACTCATCACAACACAGAGTCTCGTGTGTAGCCTTGGCTGGCCTAGAACTTGTTATGTAGCCCAGGCTGCCCTCTGCCCTGAATACGGTGCTGGGATTCCAGGTGACACCCAGCTCCACTTTAAATTCCTGTCTAAGAGAAAGCACCTAGCTTCTAGATGAGAAAACTGGACTCACAGCAAGCACAGAACTTTCTGGAAACCTCAGCATTTTCCTTTGCAGCACTGGGGGTGGAACCCAGGTTCTTGAACATGCTAGGGAGGCCCTCACACCACCACCAGTTATTCAGTGTCTGTGTCTGTACATTTAATAACCTGCATATGCCAATGTTTCCAGTATACTCTAAGCACTTGACAAATATGTATGCATTTACCACTTCCCTAATATAGATAGCCGAACATATACGGACAGCCCCTGAAGTGCAGAGTTTGAACTACGTGCCAGGGCAACAGAACCTGGCTCCAGAAACTGTACTCTGCTGCTTCTACCTTGTAGCCTCTCTGGGAAGTGTGTCTGACTCAAGTACACTTGTTAAGCCTTCCAGAACAGACCTCCCTCTCTCTCCTTCTCTCTCTCTCTCTCTCTCTCTCTCTCTCTCTCTCTCTCACACACACACACACACACACACACACACACACACACACCACTGACCTCCAACTCATCCTTGGAGGCTGCATCCAACATCACAAGATCCTTCAGGAAGGTGCCTAGGTATGGAACCACACCCTGCAGAGAGGTCAGGGTCAGATTCCCATCAGGATACAAACCCTTCTCTCCCCTCCACGAAGAACTGTCTTCATTCACCTTGGCAGGTGAGCTGCCCCTTCCCAGCCCCACTGGTCACTCACCCCAGCCCTGCAGCCAGACCTTGGGGCCTTCTTGGAGTGCGGCTCCACAGGAAGCTGCAGCTTCACTTCCTGGTGGTGACAAAACAAGGTGATGGTGGGGAGGGGCAGGGGCAGAGGCTGGGGAAGGTGAGACTGGCCTCACCTGCATGAGGAGCTCTCTGCTCTGTGAATAATTGTCCTCCTCTGAGAAAATCTGGCACAGGCTGGAAAAGACTCTGAGGCTGTCCCTGGAGGAGGAAGAGCAGGACCCTGAGCACAGGCCTGGCTCACCTTCGTACCTCAGGCTTCAGACACTTGGGGTCTCCCACCTGGCTGCTTCCCCCCAGGCTGCCCGAAGCCTGTGGATAGGGCTGGACTGCAGGGCCGACACAACAGCATAGACTGAGGAGAAGTTCCGAAGCAGGCGGCACTCCTGTGAGGACCCGAAAACACACGATCAAGGCTGTAGGGCTCTTCTCCGTATCACAATCCCCAGCCAGCAGGACTGCTCTCTCACCTCCGCCACTCGGATCCACTTCTCCAGGAGCCGCGCCCTCTGTGGGGGTCGGAGTGGCCTCACAGTCACCTCCCCTGGCCCCTCTCCAATTGAGGTGGCCCCCAGGACAGAGCTAACTACTGCCCCTGCCACCTTGTTGAACTGTGTAACAGTAGCTCGGACGGATGGGCAGAGGTGAGAATGTCCTGGCCGGTCTCTGTGACCCCATAGGCCTCCCAAACACTGAGAGGGGATCAGATTGAGAAACAGCTCCTGCAGGACAGAGGTCACAGGTTAAAACTTATAGTGAAGCCAGGTACGTTTCCAATATCAGGGATCTGAGGCTCTTAGAAGTGACCAGGGACCAGCAGGGCACAGAACTCAGGGTAAACAGCCAGGGGGAGGAGGGGCAGAAGGAGGGGCAGAGCAGAAGATGGAAGAGGGGCTCCAGGAAGCAAGGAAAGGATCTGGAGCCAAGAAAGGGTTAGTAAGGGATCAGAGAGCATAAGGTCAAAGGTCAAGGTCTCACCGCATCTAGCAGGGTCAGCTGTTCGGCCAAGTGGTCAGCGAGGAACACCAGGACATCCGTGGGGTCAGCAGGGGAATCGCCAGGAAGGGCCAGGGGCTTAGGAAGGTCAGGGGCCCGGGGATCTACCCGGGCCCGGAGGTTTCGGATGAGGTCAGCACTGCCCCCCACAACACCCTCCCGAGCTGCATACCCTGTCCGAAGCAAGAAGCTCTCAAGGCGGTCAAGCTGACCCTTGACCTCAGAGCCAAAATCCTCAGGGTGAGAGGCCAGCCAGGTTGAAAGTACAGAGATGGCTACCCTGAGAGAAAGGGAACCAGTCAAGGGTCAGAGGTCTAACCTCAGCTTCCTCACAGGGGCCTGAGGTAGAGTCAGGGGCCACTCACCCTGTGGTGCTCTCTAGCTCACCAGGAGGATGTGACTCGAGGGCTTCCAGCCTGGGGATGAGGAGAGGGTCTACCTATGCAGCTTTCCAACCCCCTGGTGCAGTGAGGGCTTGGAGGAAGTCCAGGAGGCCCCTCAACCCTCGGTCCCTGACCTGTCAGCCACAAGTCCAAGCAGGGCAGGCGTGGAGGTGAAGGCCCGGTGGGTGGCCAGCAAGGCTGGAGTGAAAGTCATGTCAACCCCTGATGTCCTGGCATCCAACAGGTGTCTGACCAGGGCCTCCAGAGTGCCAGCACGGAGCCGTCGGGAGGAACGAGGAGGGGGCAAGGGAGCCTGGAGAACACGGGAGGCAGCTCACGGATCTCCTCAGTCCCACTGCTAGATGCCTAGGGTAATCCACACCCAGCTCATTTTTGCCAGGGTTCAGAAAGGATAGGGCACATGGCTTAAATCACACCACACAGAGTCCTAGCCTAGACTCCTGACCTCCAACCCACTGTTCTGGCCAAAAAGAGAGGAAAAAAAAAAAAAAAATCAAAGAAAGGATGGAGAGGTGAGGGGTCAGAGGTGAGAAGTCAAAGTCATGACCTCACCAAGGGGTCAAGAGGCCGATACTGGCGGCTTGTGACAGTAAAGGTGGCACCATTCTCCTCCTCATCCCAGACAGACACAGGAGCCTGGAGGAGCAAGGAAAAAGAAGTCAGTCCCATATCACCTCAAGCCCCCTGTCCCCAGCCATTCTTCCCCAGGCCCCGCTCCTCCCTTTGTACCCCTCACCTGTGATGGCGGGGGACAATACCAGAGAGTACGAGGGGTAGAGGGTGCTGGTGACCCCAGGTCTACCCCCAATGGGGCTCAGACAGCCCCCCCCCTTTACGGTGAACAGAAGAATTTGCAGTGAGGCTTTCAACTGAATGCAGGAACACACCCAAATCCCCCCTCCCCCCAGCTGAGCCCAACAAAAAGCAGGGTACAAAAGGGCGGGAGCCGGTAGCCAGAAGAGGCACAAAGCCAAAGGTAGAGAGACCTGAAGCACAGGGAAGCTGAAACTTCACAGTTCGTCATATGCCCCTCCCTCCCTGACAGAACCAGAGGAGCCCAAAGGGAGTCTTCTTCATAGACTCCCGAATGCGAAAGCAGCTTCCACTAAATCTCAGCACCGGGCATGAAGGTGGCGGCCCCAATCCCAGTCACAAGAAGGGGAAGTAAGGATGATGTGGGGGGGGGGGGGGAGAGGCAGACTCAGAGTCATGTGGCCCTAGCCCCTCCCCCGACCGATCCCGAAAAACCAGCCTTGCCAGTCATCGTAACTTCACCAAATGTCGGGACCCAGGAGTTCAGGGCCTCCGGGGCTCCGAATCTGACTTCTAGACCCCCAAGTCCTACTGCTGGCCACAACTATTAGTCCCTAAGAACGAAGGTGACTACTCTCTACCAAAGCCGGGATCATCTCTGCAAGTGTCAGTACCTCTTGGTTTGCTGCATTCAATCCAGCACTGGGGGTGGGGGAAGGGGCGGCGAAATCTGAGGGTTTCCCTCCCCAACCCTAGAGGCTGAGGAACTGGTTACTGTGGAAACAAACCCCTCCCCGCCAAACAAAAACCTGGAGGGAGACAGGGACCAAGACACAACTGCCCAGAGATAGCTCTCAGAGGCGGGCATGGGCAAAGAGGACCTGAGCCCCGCAGGCACAGCCAGGGGCCTGTCAGCCAGACATTCGAGGCAGGAACTCGGCAGACTCCTGCAGGCGAGTCCCGAGTCAGACCGACAGGGAGAACTAGAGACACCTGGACTCTCCGCGGCCAGATACCCAGAGGTGCGGATGTGAGCGAGGCAGGGAGGAAGAGACAGAGGGACCCAGAGACACCAAAACGAGAAGAGTCTCGGAAATATTTAATGCCTTGCTTCCCGTCACCCGCGTCTCACCTCTTCTTCTTCCTCATCCTCTTCCTCCTGCCCCCCGCCCACGGCCTGTCCACCTGGGTCCCCACCCTCTTCGGGGTCTCGGCTCCGGAAGCTGCTCAGCACGACTCCCCCGGGGGGGTTCGTGTCCAAAAGCAGCCGTAGGGGCCGCGGGAGCATGGCCGAGTGAAGGAACCAGCAGGGTCAAGCCATGGGGGCGCCTGGGGAGAGACGGGTGGGGTGGGGGTGGAGTCAGGCGGGCGTGGGGGAGACGGGCGGTGGGGAGACGGGCAGGGAAGGGAACCTGGGTGGGAATCCCTCGCCCCTCAGGGAGGCTGGGGAGCACACAGGAGTGGGAAACCAGGGCTCTCGGTGCTGTTAGGGGTTATAGGGATCGCAAGTGCGGAATGGGCAGGGTCACCCGGTGCTCCGGCTCTGACCTGCTCGGGAGGGGTACGAGGCTGCGCGCGGGTCCTGGACCTCCGTTCTTCGTCGGCCTCTGGCCCTCGACCGAGTCCCCTCCCGGGCTTTTCCGCGCCCCCCCCCCCAGCCCCGCCGGACTCCCGGGCCCTCCCGCCCTTTCCGCTCCCCCCCTCCCCGCGTCCGCCCGACAGCAGGAGCCAAAAAGGGAAGGAAGTGAGGACAGGAGCCAGGGCCGCCGACTAGGGAAGTGTTGGACGCCAGGGGCCAGGACCCAGGCGCCAGGTGCCCCACTCCACTGCCCCCTGCAATCCCGCTCGGAGACTCAGAAGCCCCAATCGCCCAGAACAGACAGACTGGAGATCAGAGTCCTGGCCCAGGCCTCCGCGGGAGAGCGAGGACGGAATTTTAAATCTTTCTCTAACAAGAACAATGCTTCAACTCCCTGGGAAAGCGCTTGAGTGGGAGCGCGACCCCGTTACTGCGGGCCGCTACTGACACTGCCCACGCCTGCACGCGAGCGCGAGTGCAATGGAGCGAATCCGCCCCGGGTTTTCTGGGCCGCCTTTGTGCCCGCCCACTCTCGGGCTTCCGGCCCCTCCCCGAGACGCCTCGGCGGCTTTTCCGTCGCCTTGGTTCCGCTCTGGTCCGTCGCTCTCGGAGTTCGGGTCTTCCAGTGTGCCAGAGTGCGTGCAGTTCCTAGGGTGGCTGTGTGTGTGGGAAGACCGCGTAATGGCAGGGGCTCGGAGGCGACCTAGAGGTTCGCTGTGCTTATAAAGAGAGCAGAACGAGAGACCCGCATGGAAACTCGGAAAAACTTTATTGGCACACGACTAGACCGGTGCCCGGCGGGAGGGCAAGGACAGACAGACATCCTTTAAGTACGGCCGGTGACCCGGGACACTCGGAGCCCACAGACAGCGAGGGTAGAGCAGGTAGAGGAAACGTTGTGGTCTGAGAGGAGAGGCGAGCTGGAGAGGCAGGCGGTGGTCGGTCATGGGAGACTCGGGGACCGTTCTGCTCTGGAACCATCGAGAGCTGTCCCAGAGGCCCCCAGCACATTAAGATACTATGCTCCCTTAGTCTTCATAATTATCTAGGCAGTGGTTCTCAACCTTCCTAATACTACAGTCTTTAATACAGTCTCTCATATTGTGGTAAGCCCAACCATAAAATTATTTTTGTTGCTATTTTATAATTGTGACTTGCTACTGTTATGAATTCTAACGTAAATTTCTGATTATTTCCGATGGTCTTATGGGATCATGACCTATAGGTTAAGAACCCTTGTTGCTCTAGAGCATATGGTGGCTCTTGATCCTGTGGCTCTCAAGGAGGGACTGCAGTGCGTGTATAATAAATATACATATATATATATATAAAACAAATCTGTATAACATACATACATATGTACACATATATGATTATATATATACACACACACATACATACATACACACACACTTTGTAGTTTTTCAATACACGGTTTCTCTGTGTAGCTTTGGAGCCTGTCCTGGAACTCACTCTGTAGATCAGGCTGGCCTCAGAACTCAGAGATCCGCCTTCCTCTGCCAACCTGACTGCTGGGATCAAAGGCATGTGACACCACCACGACATGCTTATATATTCTCGTGTTTAGTTCTCTCAACAGGACCTCACACTGGCTGACCTAGAACTCCCTATTGTAGATCAGGGTGGCATGAAATTCCACCTGCCTCTGCCTCCAGAGTGTGGCATATGTCACTACCATGACTGGTTTTTTTCTTCTTTTTTTTTTTTTTTTTTTTTTTTTTTTTTTTTTTTAGTTAAGTTGCAATAGCTGTAGCCCACATAAGAAAATTCTTTGGGCTCCTTGGTCATTTTTAACATGTATCGGGACCCAAATTTTTGAGAACCACCCCCTAGAATCTTAAGAATGCTAGATGTATCTTAAATAAAAAAGAAATCATGAGGCACAGTGGCCAATGACTTCCGTCACTCCTGAGGCAGAGGCAGATGGATCTCTGGGACTTCCATACCAGCCTGGTTGGTTTGGTGCAGCCCAGGCCAGCCAAGGCCAAAACAAGGTTTAAAACAACAACAAAAGTAAGATATTGAAAACCCCAGCCACTGGATGGACAGAGTAGAAGAGGACTTGACGGGACTATGTTCAGGGGAGGAAGATGAGGATGGCGTCCACTGAACTGAATGCCTTTACTGTGACTTCTGCAAGAGAAGTGGAGAATTTGAAGTGAGTTCCTCCTGGGTAATCTAGAAACATCCTTATGGGGGATAGAGGGGGGACAGGATGTCACTGGCATTTCCCACCTGTCAGACAGTGTTGAATGGTCTACAAGAGAGGAGCCATCTTCTCAAAGGCCCTTTGGGTCATCTGAGATCAAGCAAACTCTACCCCTGGGCTGGGCGCTGAGCTTTGGAATGTCTTACAATGTTTACATGTTTAAATACTCTGGATAGATAAGATTTGAGACTTAATGTAGACTTCACAATGGTTTCCCTGGCCATTGTTCTTTCATACTTTATGAGAGTCTTTTCCTCCACAGCGGTCCCTTTAGCTATCACCTACCCTTGCACTTTGATGGTACCCACTTCCCTCTGTAATGGATTCTGATTGTCTTCTACACTTTAAAAGTAAAAACGTATGCTGGTGAGATGGCTCGGCAGGCGTCAATTGCAGGAAGTTGAGGTTGATCTGGGATCCCACAAGGTTGAAGGAAAAAATGGGTTCCCCAGAGTTGTCCTCTGACATCCAGCCACATGTGATCACACACCCCACATTCATATACACACACAATAAAATATCCAAAAAGGAAGATAGCCTAGTGGGGTGGCTCAGGGGGTCCCAAGACCAACATGGTTGGAGGACAAAACGACTCCCCCAAGCTGTTCTTTGACCTCCATGTGTATTCTATGGTGTGCACATGCCCACATGAATAAATAAATGTAATTTCTAAAAATTACAAAAGAAAGGTTCACTAACTGAGGGTGGTGACACTCCTACAATCGTAGCACTTGGAAGTGGAGGCAGAAGGATGAAGAGTTTAAGATTGTCCTCAAAAAGCTGAGCATGGCGGTGTGAGCCCCTCTTAATCCCCAAACTGAGGCAGGCAGATCTCTGGGTTCCAGGCCAGCCTGGTCTACACAGAGAAAACTTGTCTCAAAAAAAAACAAAAACAAATAAAATCATCCTCAATTGTGTGTCGAGTTTGAGGTCAGCCTGGGCTACATGAGACCTATCTCAACTAAACTATAATAAATGCATTATTAAATTATTTTGACTGTTTCATTTTATTCTTTCACTCCCTGATGAGCCGAGGTTTCCTTGTAGCAGCCTAGAACTCAAGATTATGCCTAAGCCTCTGAAGTGCTGTGCCTAGAAGCATGGCCCACCTGGCTTCTTCTTTTTTTTTTTTTTTTATGTAGCTACTAATTATTTCAGTTTGTATGTATGACTTAACATCTCTAACAGAATGAACTGCACCTGAGGAAAAAGACCCCCAGATTGGAAAGTCTGAGGTGAGCTATAGTTAGGACAAAGGATTTAGACCAGATCTGTATCAAGTCTACACCCGTAGCTGCCTGCCATGCCCGCAACTAGCGTCCCACCACGGAATAACAGGGCACGAGGAGGGAAAGACCCAGAAACGGGCACTGTTACCTTTGAATCCAGGCTGGCAGCTGTTACCTTCGTGTCTTCAGGAATGGTCAGGTAGGCAGCTATAGGAAAGATGGAGGGGGAGGGATGTGAGCGCCAGGGGGAGGGAGAGGTGTGAGACTTCAGAGAGTAGGTGGGAAATGTCCTGGGGAGCAAGTCCACTCACTCACCCATCCAACCTAGTGCCTTGATGAGTGCCAGAAGGAGGAAGGCGGACAGGAACAGGCCGATGCCATCCTCCACCAAAGGCCCGGAGAGGCCTAGCAAGGGAGACAGTGCATATGAGCTTGGTGTTTGCCAAGGTTCCACCCTGGTTCAGAGGTTCTTCAGGTTACCTGCCACTTCCAGGGTGACTTCAGCACTGCGACCCGATGCTCGCAGGCAGGGGTGGTAGACCCGACAGGCATAGCGTACTCCGTGCTGCTGGGCAGTGACTGGGGGCAGCTGCAGGTGCCCGGCCTGACTCACAGAGCCATCAGAATGGTGACGGACGTTGGAGAGCCACATCTCCCCCTCAGCCTTTCTAGAACCGCCTTCTGGACCACCCCTGAGCTCCCACTCCACCTCCAGGCCCTCCGCAGGGTAAAAGTGGGACACAAGGCAGAGCAGTTCCGGGGGTGCCTCTCCTGGGGCAGCCCACACAAGGGGTGCTGGTGTCAGAGACACTTTGGGGGACTCTGAAGAAAGAACATGAAAATGAGAGATTCCTCTTCTCCCCTCAGTTTGTCTTCTGTTTCCGTAATGCTAGAGGAGGAGCGCTGATGGCGCCAATTCCCATGTTAAAGCCTCAGATCCCTAGAATCCCCCACCTATCTTTGCTCCTTTCTGTGATCCCCTCCCCCTGCCAAGGTCCCCTGACTCACTGTGCACAGTCAGCTGCAGGGAGACCTGTCCTTGCAGATAAGGCAGGTGTACAGTAGCCAGGTAGACACCCTCCTGAAAAGGTTTCACAGCCGGCAGCCATAAGGTCCCATTCCCAGTCCATGGGCCCCAGGGCTCATTGTCATCCCAAGCAGCAAATGCCACAGCCTTTTCTTGGGCTGGTGGCATTTTCTCAACCAGTCCAGGAGTTGCTGCCAGCAGCAGATGACCCTTGCCCCTGTGTTGGCGCCGCCACTCCAGCCCAAAGGGAGGGGGACCTGTGGCTGGAGACAGAGCATCTTCTGGAGTGGGGGGCATGTAGGCAAAGCTCAGGTCCAGCACTGCATCTTTTCCCAGTTGGATCCGAGGGGCAGGGCTGTGCGTGAGGACAGTCAGCACCACTGGGCATTGGGGGAGAGGAGAAAGGGAAGGTAGAGAAGCAGAGCATTGGCTTGGGCCACGCTCCAGCTGACCCACCCCTCAGAGACACCTCCATTTGTAATACTACCTCCAGGCTCTCCCTGTACTCGGGTTCTAAGCCAACATAGCTAAGAATGTGCAGGAACTCTAGGGATGTGTGTATGTGCGGCTGAGGTATGGCCCTGGGCAATCTGTGACGAACACTGCCCACTGCAGGTATCAAACTCTGGAGATGTCCAAGATCTAAGGGCACATTAAAATTGTTTTAAAATTTTTGTTTGTGTGTTTGTTTTGGTTGTTCAAGATAGGGTTTCTCTGTGGTTTTGGAGCCCATCCTGGAACTCACTCTGTAGACCAGGCTGGCCTCAAACTCACAGAGATTTGCCTGCTTCTGCCTCCCAAGTGCTGGGATTAAAGGCGTGCACCACCAACGAATGTCCAGCTGTTTTAAAATTTCTGTGTATGAGTACCTCCATGTATATAAATGTACCATGTGTGTGCAGTACCCAAAGACTCCAGAAGAGGGCACTGAATCCCCTAGAATGAGTTCCAGGTGGCTGTGCCATCATGTAGAGTGCTCTTCTGGGTCATTCTTCTAAACACACACACACACACGCACACACACACACACACATCTTTTTTTTTTTTCCTTTTTTTTGTTTTTTGTTTTTTGTTGTTTGTTTTGTTTTATGAGACAGGGTTTCTCTGTGGCTTTGGCACTCGCTCAGTAGACCAGGCTGGTCTGGAACTCACAGAGATCTGTCTGCCTCTGTCTCCCTAGTATTGGAATTAAAGGCCTGGCTTTTTTTTTTTTTTTTTTTTTTTTTTTTTTTTGAGACAATACTCTGGCCCAGGCTATCTTGAAATTCACTATGTAGGCTAAGCTAGTCTGGTGGAACTTGATTGATTCTCTTCCTTCAGCCAAGTTCTTTCCAGTGTGTGTGTGTGTGTGTGTGTGTGTGTGTGTGTGTATCTGTGTTGAGGGGGCGGAGGTTGACTAATGATGGGGTGAGGTGCTAATGATTGAAAGTAGGACCTTATATATGCCAGGCAAGTAATCTATCACTGAGTTCTCTTGTTGGAAAGTCTCATGTAGCGCATGCTGTCATGGAATTCTTGACTTTTCATCCCTACCTCTCAAGTGCTGGCATTATAGGCATGCACCTCCAACACTAACAATCAGACCCACACATAGTAGGCAATGTGTCTACCACTGAACTACACCCTCAGCCCAGTGACTCATACTGGTAGGTAAGCCTAGCACACAGGAGACTCAGGCATAAGGACTGCCATTAGCTCCAGACAAACTTGGGTTACTGCTTGAGACCCAGCAAAGTGCTGAACCCCTGGGAACTCAGGGTCATTGCATTATTGCACTATTCAGTAAGTGGCCTTGGCAGACTCCTCCGTCTTTGCCGCATTCCTTCTGCCCACTAGAGGCCGCTATTTAACGGACAACAGACGGTGACTGCGAGTCTGAGGAGTTTCCTTGCCTGGTTGATTGTCGATAGGCTACAGTGGGCTTGGGTGACAGTCTGATTTTTGAAACGGGATCACCTATACCGGGGTTGGGGGGGATGCCTAGCGATTTACTCCTTGGAGGAATACAGGGGAAAAAATTCGGGTTTTAGGACTCACTACCTGTCACAAGTTTCTCAAACTACTATCTGGAAACCACCATGACTTCCCCAAACTTCTACAAAGCCCCGCCCAAAAAAGCACAGTTGATTTCAGTTTTACTCTTGACCTGCAAAGAAAGGTGAAAATAAACTCTTAAACTGCCTCGCTTAACAAAAAAGTACATATACTGAACCCCAGCTGGAGAAAAAGACCCATTCAACTCTACTCAGCCAGTGGCCACTAGCCGATCTAGACCTTTAAAACTACCCACCCATCTCCCGCACCTTTTCAGGGCTACCTGTTGCCATGGTGATGGAGGCGGGCTCCAGCTGAGGCTCTGGCTGTGGTCGCAGCAGGCTAGAGAGGCTGAAGACGGTGCTGGACACGCTGACCAGCAGCCAATCGCCGTCCAGGGCCCGCGGGCAGCTCTGCTGCGGGTTCAGATGTCTAGCCCAATAAGCCGAGGCAGGGAACGGGATGAAGCGGCTCATCTCGCAGTATGGTACAGGGGCGCCTGAGGGGTACCGCCTGAAGGCAGCCAGGAGCATTCCCGCTGGGTCTGCGGGACGGAAAGGATGCAACTGTAGCCCCGGATGGTAATGATGGAAATGTGCGGACTAATGCACATGCTAACAAAGTAGCGAGAGACTTAGGGAGACTTATCCAGACTTATCTACAAAGGGGGAAACTGAGGCCCAGAGTACCTCCGTGAGCTAAAGAGGAGGCGATAGATGCAGGTGAGTCCCGAAGACTCACCATCCACCTTCAAGTACAGCTTGGGGTCAAGATCTGGCCGGGGCGGTGGACCCCTGGGTCCCTGGCGCAGTAGCAATGTGGCAGGTTTCTTGGTCAGGCCACCCCCACCTGCATCTTCCACGAACCAGCACTCAATCGCCTCCGGTCCAGCCGAGACGCCAGGCACCAAGCCTGGGGGAGAGGGATTCGGTGACCAGGTGGTCAGGATGTCCAACGATCGGCCCCTCCCCTTCAGGCCCTAGATGGGACCACCTCCCTCTCCTTCCCAGTGTGCCCTTTCCTAAACAAGAAGAAATGGGGTTCGCTCACCCAAAGCCACAGCGATGAGCAGGGACAGAGGATTCATGGCGCTGCGATCTCTACTCTAAGTCTCCTCTTCCCCCTTTCACTTTCATTTTCCTCCAAACGCCAGCGAGCGGGACCGGAAACTCCCGCTCAGGTCAGGTAAGGATTGACTGCACGCTGGAGGCACGCAACCAACAAGAGCCAAACCGAGATCACCAAAACCTGCCTCCACTTCTTTTGCCACTCTGCGCCCTGCACACCCTCCTGGATCATCCAGCAGCGCCAACTTTGAGCCCTTAAGCAACCTAGGCTCCTCCCTCCGACTGGCTGCGCGCTCTCCACGTCACCTCCCTGAGAACCATTACTCCCGCGTTCTCCCACCTCACTGACAGGTGCCAGGTCCCAGCAAACACAGAGGGGTTGTCGGGATGCCAAGTGAAGTGACCAATAAATATTTTAATCACCGTTAAGAATTAAAACCTATACTACATGACCAACTCCTTGTCTCCGCCTACTTTAATGAAAAACCAATTCGGGATCCCCCTGGGGAGAGTAGGGTAATACAGAAAAAAGGGGCGTACCCTCCAGAAAGGGAAAGAATAAAGCTCAAAAGGCCTCATCCCACAACAAACACAGACCAGGCACAAACTAGCACAACCTGACCGTTGGCCCTGCGACTCCTGGATGCTTAAATTTCCATTCCCTCGCCGTGTGGGCCCTGCTTCGTAAAGGTGAGGCACTGGTGTGCCCAAGAGAGTAGAAAAAAGGCTTAGTTCCAGAGACACCGACGGAACGGAGGAAGGGGCTGAGGAATGGAACCGGCTGGCGATGGTACAACCTATGCCCCCTCTAGAATATATACAAGTCCACAGAGATAAGGGAAAGCAGGGTAGTGTAGAAACCCCAGGGGGCCACGTTGCCCATAGACTAAGTTCCCAAAATGCGTGTCCCTCAGTGTGCTCCTCCGCCTCCACCGAAATCCATCTCCACCTTGTGCACGCTGGGCGGGGACCAGACACGCCTATGGGATGGGGGTGTGGCCGAATTCGCCTCACCGCTACTGCCCCCACCCACTACGGAAGACTCCCTCTTGGGTTGCAGGGCTGGCCCAGTAGGAGTCCCTAGGCCGGGTCCGGGTCCGGCCCCACCCATCCGGTGCCGGCGCTCACAGTGTCCCCGGTGCCGCATGAAGCTATCTCGCCACATGAACTTCTTGGCGCAGACGCTGCACTCATAGGGCTTGAGCCCCGTGTGTGTCTTCATATGCTCGGTCAGGTGGTGTTTCATCTTGAACTTTTTGTTGCACACGGGGCAGTCGAAAGGTCGCAGGTTGAGGTGCATGTTAACGTGCCGGTCCCGCATACTCTTATGTGAGAAAGCCTTCCCACAGTGGCAAAGAAAAATCTTATTCCCGTCGCTGCTGCCCGTCCCTCCAGGGGCTCCACCAGAGCCACTTGCTATGCCTAGACCCGCCGCAGAGGGGCCTCCCAGGGTCACTGCCCCGTGCTCGGTCGTGTTCCCTAGGGGCTGGCCTGGAGCCTGTGACGACGATGGGAAAACCAAGATCTGGTTGCCGGACACATCCAACGGAAGGAGGGGGCGTGGAGGGTGGGTGGGGGCATAGGAGGAAGGGGTGGGTCCTCCTGAGTCATCAAGCCCTGCTCCTCCCCCCGCACCCTCATAGGGGCCAAAATCGTTAGAGGACTCACAAAAGTTGACCTGTTCCTCCCCTTTTTCTGGAGGCTCGGTCAAGGTCCGCACATCACTGATACTGAGAGTAGCCTCAGGCTCTTCCCCTGCAGGAACCCCAGGGCCACCCCCCAGTTCTTCGTCCTCATCATCCTCACACGTCAACACCAGATCTTCCTCTTCTTCCTCATCCTCTAGATCAGGGTCTTGCTGAACCAGAGAAGCTGGCGCAGGGCAATTTCTACCTCGCTTCACATACACCCAGTGTTTCTGTGGTGCAGCACCGGCAGGCACGCAGGCGGGCCTCCGGAGCCCAGCCCCAGGGGCCACAGCCCGTCTCCCATCCCCACCATCATCACACAGTTCATCCGCCTCTAGCAGCAACTTTCCGGAGGTGGTACCCGCACTGCCAACCACGGGGACTGGGAACACAGGGCCACCGTCTCGACGGCTCCCACAGCCAACCGCTGAAGCTATAAATGCATCTTGGGAGGAAGAGGAGAAATCGGTGGACTCCCGGGGGCTGAAGTAGTTGCTACTGCTGGGGGACTGATTCTCACTGGCCCGGCTGGAAGTATGGGAGCGGACTGAGCCCATGCTGGCAGGGGCTATAGTGGCCCCACTCCCTGATGGGACACTGGCACCAGGGACAGAGACAGAGGGGGCTGCAGCAGTAGCGACAGTGCTTGTAGTGGCCGAGGGTCTACCCTCCCGAAGGAGTTCAGTGCACTTGTCCACAATGTGCCACATCTGAAGGACTGAGCCCACCGTGAGGAAGTTGACAATGTCAGCAGCTGCCATGCTGAGGCGGCCCGTGTACGCTGAGGCCAGGACAGTCTCAAAAGCACCTGGGTCCATGACACTTGGCAATGAGATGGATGTCATGCCTTTGAGTAGGACCTGGTCATGGAAGTAAGGAGAGGATGCAGCCAGGACAGCCCGGTGAGCACGAAACTCCCGTCCCTGAACTCGGATGGACACATCGCAGAGCTGGCCCTGCAGCCGCTGCTGGTTGAGGGACTCCAGGAGGGCACTGGTCACTTCAGGGAAAGACACATGCACCACTGCAGCTGCTGGCAGAGGCAGCGGCGGGGCAGCCAGCGCCAGAGGTAGGGGGAGCGCCGCCCCACTGGGTGACAGAGAGGGCTCCATGTCGTGGAAGGAGGAGACACCCCCCCAGCCACAGGAACGAAGGAAAGAGGAGGGCGGCCGGGGGGGTCTCTGGGAGGAAAAAAGAGAAGAGTGATAGGTTTTGCAAGAAGTCACAGCCCATCACAGCATAACAACGTTGTGTCGGCCTTAATTATTCCCCGTGACACTGGGGTGGGTGTACCTTTCAACCCCATGGGACAGATGGGGCAACTGAGGCTCAGAAGGATGAAGTCAGTCATCCAAGCACCGACATCAAACCGCGGCGTTAGCAAGAGAAAGTACTCCAAGTTCAGTGCTCTTCCCTAGAAAGCTAGGAAATGAGGGAATGGGAGTCTACGCTTCTCCACCACTGCCTGCCTTTCAAAAGCGCGCCTCCTGGGCATTTCGTGCCTTCTTTCTTGGGGCGAAGGGGTGTCCCCCTCAACTCGCAGGCCCCTCCCCCTACCGCCCCCAGCTAATCCCCGGCTCCGCCCCCTGGCTCCGCGACCCCGCCTCGTGCCTGCCCCCGCCCCCGAACCCCGCCCCCCCACTCCACCCCCAAGGCGCCCCTGGAACTACTCCCCCACCCGAGAGGCCCTCAGCCCCGCGCATCCCCGCTCACCTGGCCGCGCGCCCCCGGCCCCCCCTCACTCGGCGACCAGAGCCGCAGCCCCGGCCCCTCCCGCCGCCATCTTGTGCCGACTCCCTCCGCCCTCCGCCTCCACTCCGCCTCCCGGACCTGCGACCTTAAAGGCGCAGGCCAGCACCTCTCCTGTGCCGCCTGGCAAAACTCGACCGACGACGACACTTCTCCTTTAAAGGACCGTCCCGCTGTTCGCCCTTAAAGGCACCAGTTCCCCTCCGCCGCCGAGGACCAGGGACTTGATTTGGCCGAAGCTTTCGTTCCCCTTTAATCCTACCAGCCTGCCTTTTCCCACTGACGACCAGTACCGGCTTCCGCTGCTCAGGCTCCACCCCCAGCTATGGACATTAGCTGGCTGGCGGGATCAACAACCCTCTTCCCAGCAAATGACAGGACCCCTGAAGCCCCGCCTCCTTTTGGATTGGCCAGATAACCTTGAGTCGGCCCCCGATTGGCCTTTTCACTCAGCCGCTCCAAGTGAGAAAGTAAAGCGGCTTAGGAAGGCTTCCCAAGTGCCTAAGCTTTGGAAGGCTCCAGGAAGGGTGATGATGAGGGCGCCCCAAAGAGGTGTCCAGGGCCGGGATAGTAAGGGCAGATACGGGGATAACCCTGAACCAGATGGCAGCTGTCACAGCAGAAACACAAGGTAAACACAAGAATACAATAAGAAAAGAAATTCATTGTTTATTAATGTGTCTGTGTAAAACTTAAAACATCTGATTCTTTGTCAAAAGAAACACCACCGAAAGGGGAGGAGCTCAGTCCACCCTCTGCTCAGCCACAGACTTCTTGCCATCTTCCCACAGCCATCCAAAACATTCTGGAGGCAGGAGAACAGGAGGTTGCTAATCAGAGTCTGAGAGCACGATGATCTCTTCAGGATCGCACTGCGTGGCCACACTCATCTGTAGAAAAGTCCCAAGGGGAGAAGTCAGATTAAAAGTGAAGCAGGTCCAGCCAGCCTGGTGGCACATGGAGGCAGAGGCAGGCTGATCTCTGAGTTTGGGGCCAGCCTGGTCTACACAGAGTTCCAGGACAGCCAGAGCTACATGGAAACACCCTAATCTCAAAAACAAAACTAGGATGGAGGGCTGGAGAGACCTGGGTTCAGTACCCAGACTCACACAGCAGCTCGATGCCTTGTGTAACCTCAGTTCTTGAGGATCAGGTGCCCCCTCTTGTGGCCTCCACTGAGTACCAGGCACAAATGTGGCACACAGACATAAGGAGACAAAACACCTTTCCACGTAAAAATAAATCTTTTTTTTTTTTTCTTTTTTTCTTCTTCAAAGAGAGGATTCTCACTATATAACCTTGACTGGCCTGGAACTCACTGTGTAGACAAGACAGTTGGCCTTGAAATTACAGAAATCTGCCTGCTCTGCCTTCTGAGTGGTGGGGTTAAAGCCATAAGCCACTATGCTATGCAAAATAAACCTAAACACACATACACCTAGGATGGGGAAATTGAATGGGAGGTGCAGTACCCCATGGAGAAGGAGGGGACAATAAGAAATGGAATTGTTGCCAGGTGGTGGTGGCACATGTCTTTAATCCCAGCACTCAGGAGACACAGGCAGGTGGATCTCTATGAGTTCAAGACTAGCCTGGTCTACAAAGTTACACAGTTTAGAAACCCTGTCTCAGAGAAAAGAAACCCTGTCTTGAAAAAACAGAAAGAGAGAGAGAGAGAGAAACAGGAATAGGAGGGAGGAAGCGAATAAGGGAGGGAGGGAGAATAAAAGAAATGAATGTCAGGGAAACACAGCAGCCCCCAACATACCTTATAACTTGGAGGCCTGGGAGACTGACACTGGGGAGTTTGGGACGTCAGAGATGGAGAAGAGCTGCACAGGGAGCTGGTCACCAGGCCATGGCTGGGGGAGTCCACCCTTGTGGAGGAATCAGCAACAGGAGCCATGGAGGCCACCAGGGAAGATGCAGTGGTTGGGGTCCACATGTCCTTCCCATTTCCCTGCTGCTTTCCCGTTTGCTTCTCTACATAGCTAAGGGCAGAGAGAATGAATGGACAGGAAGGAGCTGTGGAGTGCTGAGTATCTCCCAGCAGACCCTGACCTCAGGTCTGCTATCAGAAGGCACCTCCTTGCCTTCCGCCTGCTCTTACCTGTTTTCCAATGGTCCAGATCCCAGTTGCTTCTTTTCCTTCCGAGATCTCTTGGACGGGGGACTGGAATCTCTCCAAGTGTGAGAAGTGACACGCCCATTGAAGGATGTAGAGGTGACCATATCTGCCCCGTTTTCCAAGACAGTGAGGAGGGAATCTTCTGACTGTTTCCTACAAGAGGAAATGTCCCTTTCTTCAGGGGATGGGGTGGTAGCCTTGGGCAAGGCTTCAATCTCTAGCTCAAAATGCTGGGACACAGGACTCTCTTCTCCCAGGAATGGCTCTTGGAGCTGTTCCCTGCTGCTCTCAGCATCCATGCTAGGAGCTTCTGGGGATGCTCCTGAAGGGGACACTGCTGCCCCTGGCAGTCCTTTGTTTTGCTGCACTCCTTCTGAGTCCCTTCTAGCGGGGCTCTTATCTCTTTCATTGTCTGCAAAAAGCAAAGAGGAGAGGGTTAGCATGAGGGCCAGGCAGAGGGGCTGTGCAAAGGAACTAGGAGTAAGAGAGGGAAGGGAAGGCCAAACAGAGCAGAACCTGACAGCAGAGGGGTGCCCTGTTTGTGTATGTACCTCCTCCTTCCTCTTCATCGTCTTCCTCACCCCCCTGATCTTCCTGCAGCTGTTCTAGATCCTCATCTTCATCTTCAGTGGCCTCTTCTTCCTCTTCATCCTCCTCCTCTTCCTCCTCCTCACTTTCCTCATCGTCCTCATCCTCATCAGTCTCAGTTCTGGAGGTAGCCGGGCACTCCTGGGATGCCAGTCCACTAGGACCCTGGGGGGGGGGGCAAAGGGGCATCTTGTAAAGAATCCCTTTCCCCATTGTTTTTGGTAGTGCTAAGACTCGAACCCAGGACCTCAGGATGCTAGGTAAGCAGGCCATAAATGGGCCCCACTCCCAAGTACTTGGTTCTTTCACTGCTCCATGAGTACCCCTGGGGTCCCTGGTGGCCAGTGCAGGGCAAGGGGAGCATCTCTGACAGGTGCTGACCCTTCCATACCTCACCCGAGTCCACGGAGACTTTAGGGGAACACGAAGATTGGGGAGCGTTGCCTAGGAGCCGCGCTCTTCTCTTCTGTCTCTCGCCCTCCTCACTCTTGTCTTGCATCATTGCATACTTGGAGATGACCTCATCCAGCCGGCTCATGGCCAAGCTCCGATTTTCCCGAAGGCGTCGAGCCAATGTGGGATCTGACAGTGCAGGGTCAACACCTGTGTGAGAAAGCAGGGTCAGAGGGCATAGCCCATGTAATCTAAAGGACCCCCAGTCATCCCAACAGCTTCCTACCTGGCCTATAGTCATCTGTGAGGTGGCAGCCAAAATTGTAGATGAGGTCAAGGTGGCGGCGTTCCTGTAACCTGACGCCCACATCCCGGAAGGCATCCTGAGCCATAAGCTGGAGCTGCTGTCGGGGAAGGCCAAGACTATGCCGGGTGGCTGCCCTCTCCACAGCCCTCAGCACGTCTCCATAGTCAGGAAAGGTATCAGGCCCTGGCTTGTTGATGAGCCGCTCAATGCGTCTGTTGACCTCTGGGTAGCGTGTGCCGCGGTAGGGGATTCGCTGCTCTATGACCCGGCCAGTCAGGGAGGAGCAGTCCTTCAACTCACACAGGCGCCCAAAGAGGCGGATCAGTTTCCGCTTCAAACGGGCCTCCTGCAGATACGTGGAGTCTGGGTCATCCAGTTCTGACAGATCCAACTCTTTCTCCTGCAGCCGCCGAATCTCTGCTACATACAGTGCCAGCAGTTGCTCCAAGCGCTGGATCTGCCTCCGGGAACCACGGGTCCTTGAGGCCTCAGAGGCAGTGTTTTCAGCATGTGTAAGGTCAGAGGAGGACTCTGGGGGAGGATTATCACCAGAGGGTTCACCGGGCATAGAGGGTGCAGGAGCCAAGTTCAGCTTCTTCTTACTCGAATGGGCTTTAAGAACAGTGCAAAGCTCATTGATGTAGACATACAGCTTAGCTGGCCGGTTCCGAGCCCGAGACAGAACCCGGGATAGGATGTTGCAAAACTCTGCAGAGGCCAGAAACAGAGTCTGGGCACGCTGCTGCAGTTTGTGAAGGAATGGAACCACCTCAGGGTGGTCTGATGTCTGCATCTTACACAGCTCAAGGAACTGAAGAAGAGTTTGTTGAAAGGGTTGGAGACAAGAAAGGCATTAAAAAAAAAAAGAATTAGTGGGAAAGTCAGAACAAGAGAGCCTTTCCTTCCCATCTTCCCTATAAGGTCACAGTGCTGCACACCTTTTATCCCAGCTGTCAGGAGGCAAAGGCAAGTGGAGCTCTGCGGGTTCAAGGCCAGCCTCATCTAGACAGCCCCAGGCAGGAAGGGCAACACAGTGAGACCCGATCTCAAAAACAGAGGAGCCTTCCCCAAAGCTTACTTACCTCTTCAAACAGCCTCTCATTCTCCAACTTGTAGCACTTCCTGCCACCTGAGTTACCACTTCCTCCATTCCCATGGGACTCAGAGGGACCAGAGGCTTCTGGCCCTTGTGAGACAGGATTGGAAGGCAGGTGTGAGGGCCCCGGCTGAGCAGCTACTACATCCTCATCGTCATCATCCAACACAATGATGCTGTCAGCGGCGGCCATGGGGGATCAAATCCCCCTAAGGAAGGAAGTGTTGTAAAGATCAGAAATCTGGAAGGAGAAGGGGACCCCAGGGAGAGCCCCTCCTGCAGAGCCCCACCCCAGCGGGTACCCTGGGTTTCCCTGTCTTCAACAACCACCAGTTCCAAGCAGTTCAGGGGGGCAAACCTCCGGATTATCCGAAGTCCCCACACTGAACTCCACCCCTCCATCAATTCCGGTATCAGCTGGGAAGTTTTTTCTTACTCCCTGTCCCAGTACAAAGTCCCACTGGCCTGAGTTTTTCTGACTCCGTCTACAAAAACCCACACCCTGACGGTGTCACCTCTCGCCCTCAGACACAACGATCCCATTTCGAGTTTTTCCCTTTTTGTTTTGTTTTTCAGGACAGGGTTTCTCTGTGTAGCCCGGACTGTGCTGTAACTCGCTCTGCTGACCAGGCTGGCCTCGAACTCTAAGCTCTGCCTCCCGAGCGCTGGGCGCTGGGATTAAGAGGCGTGAGCCACCACCGCCCACCTCCTGCGAGCTTTGCCTTAACTCCAACTCCTTGACTACGAGGTGAAGCCCTGTCCCCTCCTCTGGTCATCTCCATATTCCGCCTCCCACTGGGTTTCCTCAACCCGGGACTTGAGGCTGGAGGTTTTCATCCTAAGTCCCCTCCCTCTACCGCACCCCGGTTTGCCTCCCAATGCTCGGCAACTTGTAACCGACTGCGAGCCCACCACCGAGTACTCCTGGTACCTGGGCCCCCGGCCCCAGGTGGGGTCGGTCCTGCCTCAGCTTCCCGCCAAGTACCCCCTCCCCCAGTTGAGCCCTAGGCCGCCTCACTCCCCTTGAAGGCTAGCAAGGTAGCACACGGCACCCAGGCCCCGCCGACGCTCGCTCTCGCCACGCCTGCCCCCGCCACGGCCGCTCCGCTCACGCACGGCCCGGCCCCCACCTCTGAAACGGTCTCCCGAGGCTGCCCTCACCGCGGATCACAGAACCTCGCATGGTTCCCTCCGCCTTCCTTTCCCCCCTACCCCCACCGCAGGCCCCACTACGGACCGGAAGCCCCGGAGCTTCCGCCTGCCACACCTGGGGGCGTCCATGTTGCTGTACGGAACCCGGTCGTTTTCCCCCATCCCCCACTCTCCACCAGCCGAAGTCTCGCGCGACCCGCTCACCCAGGATGCAGCTCGCGGCACCCAGACGCCCCAGGGGAAGAGGCTTGGGGCTCTGGGAGCGGGGCGCGCCATGTTGCCGTACGGCACCGGCCTGGCCTGCACAGCTCTGCTCGGGGAAGGCGAGCAGCTCTTTGCACTTGGAGCTCCCCGAGGCCACTCGCCCAGTGAGTAACACCCTGCCTCAGGCCTCCCCGACGCCGTGTGGTCGAGCCCCGCTCCTGGAAGGGGAAGGAACCTCCCCCCCCAGGTGGTACCTACGGAGATGGGTTCTCTACAGCTGTGCAGGGTTCCAGGGAACGAAGTAAGATTTTCTTTTCCCGTCTTGGGTAAGCCTGACACTCCCTACTGTGCGAGTCTCTGGCCTGGTTTCACCGCCTGGTTGCCTGCGCTCTCCCTTCCCTTCCAGACGCGCCGCGCACCTGAAGGCTATCCAGCCCCGGCCTCTGCGGTCAGGTGCTTACACACAAGCACAAATGATCACAGCATGCTGCACAAGTGAGGTATTGTTATTATTGCCGTCGGGGACTCGCTGCCCAGGCTGCATCACTGACGTGACGGCCGAGCCAGCTGCTGGGGACTGTGGCCCTCTGTCTCCCCGAGGGTCATCCTGACCACAAAGTTGTGCTTCGTGCTGGGGTTTGCAGGGCGTGAGGCGGGGCGCGGGATAACCTGGCGCGGGCTTGCGGTGGAGCGGTTCAAGCAGCCGCTGGGAGCGCCAGGAGACCAAGGGAGGCTCATAAAATCCCTTGGGCGGCTCCTCCTCCGGGAGAGCTGTGGAGAAAAGGAGAGGGGGTGGGAGAATGACTGGGACGCCCGCAGGGTAGAGAGGTGAGGCCTGCAGTTGTGCTGATGAGGAAAACGGAAAAGTAAGCGTCGGCATCCTTCCGCACTCCCTGGGTGGTGGGCGTCTTGCTCATTTATAAGACCAAGAAGCCCAGTGGCTCTCTAGAGGACCTGGACCTCAAACTCGCATTAAAGAAACCCACCTCGTTTCCTGTCCGGTCCTTTAAGCTTATGACATTTAAATTGGGGAAAAAGAAAAGTTCCTAAGTGGTTAATAGGACTCTAAAGATTTTATTTCCATATTCTTAGTTTTCTCAAAATGGGTTTTCCTGAATGCTTGCCTGAAAGAAAGATTCCCTAGATTTTTTTCTGTTGATGTTGTTTCTTTAGGAGTGCTCTGTCCACATGTATGCCTGCAGCTCTAAAGAGGAAATCAGATCCTGTAATAGATGGTTGTAAGCCACCATGTGGTTGCTGAGAATTGAACTCGGGACCTCTGGAAGAGCAGCCAGTGTTCTTAACCTCTAAGCCATCTCTCCAGCCCTGAAGATTCCTATCTTTTCACCATTATTTACTTTCTGTTTTTTGTATGTGTGTGTTCGCCCATGTAAGACTCCGTGTGAATGCAGGTACCTGAGAATGTTCCCAGGACTACAGAGTGACAGAGTCATCTGTAACCCCAGTCCCAGAGTGACAGAGTCATCTGTAACCCCAGTCCCAGGGCATCCAATAGGCATGCTCATGATGAACATGCATGCATGCAGGCAAAACGTCCATACACACAAAGTCAAATAAATACATTTTAAATAAATAGTTGTACAAACTGACAGCAAGTCCTAGGCTGAGAGCACATGGAGGACTAGGAAACTGAAAAAGAGCTGGAAGATGGAGACGAGTGCAGACTTGGAAAAAAGCTTCCATGGGAGTGAGAGGAGGTGTGGGGGAGTAATGGAGGTGAGTGCATTATATAATGAATAAAAATAAACATACGTTTTACTTATGTTCTTTCGATGATTGCAACTACTCAGAAGAACTTTATCTTATATGTGTGGGTGTTTTGCCTGCATGTGTGCATATACACCTTCTGTGTGTCTAATGACTACCAAGACCAGAGAGCGCAACTGACCCTGGGACAGGAGTTGTGAACGATAGAAAGTAGGTTATAAGGAGGTTGACTAGCTGGGGGGGCTGAGCCCTGAGCTGGAGCAGGTCTGGGATATCTAACAGATACTTATGAATAGGGACTGTAGGGAACTAAGGCCAGCATGGGCTCTGATATGTTGAGAGGCATCGCAGGTACGTGTCAACGGAGAGCCATAAGTCCCTTCATCCAGAAGCAAGGAAAAATAAGTCCTTTTTGCAGACAGGAACCTGTTTCACAAGTTCCTGAGGAATTCTGGCTTTTCTCTAACTGCTAGAAACCCTTCTATCATCCAGTTAGAGGTGGGCCGAGATTGTCACTTCTGGGCGCATGCACTGCCTGAGACCAAACATGTCCCAGCTGTATCACTCCTGGAGAGATGGTTGAAGAAGCCTATGTCAGAACACCACAGGGATGTTGCACATCCATGTTTATTGCCGTAGTGCTTACAATAGGCAAAAGAATGGATGCAGCCTACATGTTCATCAGCAGACGAAGAAAGTGTGCCACACACATACAGTAGGCCCTTACTCAGCTGGGAAGAAAACTTAAATCATGACATCTGCAGGAAAACAGGGAACAGAAATCACCCTTAAGCAAAGTAAGATGTGTTCAAAAGGGTAAATCATTCCTTTTATTCTCTCATATGTGGGATCTGGGTTTAAATTTATATACTGTATATATACAGAGTAGTGTGTGTGTGAGCTCCCGTGTAGGACATGAAAGTCAAAAGGGGAGGAAGCAGTCTAGAGGAGGACTACAGAGAAAAGTGGAACATAGGTGGCATGAAGCAGGAAGAGACATGGGGGGCACAAGGGTGGGAGGCAGATGACACATTGATAATATGACCATGGCACAATGAAACAACTTGTATGCCGACTAAAAAGTTAATTTTTTTAAACCTATAGGGAAGGGGCTCCTGGAGGCATTGGAAGGGATGTCTAGGGAGTGAATATGATAAAAATACATTGTGCATGTATAAGAAGTTAAAAGTTGGCGGGGCAGTGATAGCACATGCCATTAATCCCAGCACTTGGGAGGTAGAGAAAGGCGAATCTCTGTGAGTTTGAGGCCAGCCTGATCTACAAAGTGAGTTCCAGGACAGGTTACAAAGCTACACAGGGAAACTCTGTCTCAAAAAAAAAAAAAAGGAAAATTTGTGTGTGTGTTGCAGAGGATATGAGTTTGGTTCCCAGTTCCTACTGTAACTCCAGCCCCAAGGGATCCAACACCCTCCAGCATCTGTGGTCACCTTCACACCTTCACTCCTGTGCACATAGCCACAAACAGAAATAGTCTTAGAGTGCTGGCCTAAGCTATCCTTCCCACCCCAATCTCTCTGGTCTCCTTTCTCACCTTGGTAGCCAGGACGGAGTCTAGGCAGAGGCTCACAGTTCCAGTGCCTCTTCCTCCTCAGGCGTCTTCAGGAGCCAGTCCCAAAACATCGACCATGGCAGGGGCCACAGCAGTTTGTAAGCAGCCTCCAGCATCAGTAGTGTCAGGAAGAGCACCAAGAAGGAGAAGAAGATCTTGTCCAAAGTGCGCCGCAGGGGTCCCCGAGGAGGAGTGGGACCCTGGGCGAATGCTAGGAACACATCCCCCTCCTCCAGACCTCCCTCTTCCTCTGCCATACTTACCCACTGTGGGACAGCTGGCTGGCTCACTGCAGGAACGGAAGGCCTGGCTCAGCACAGCCAGGATTTAAGGGCTTGGCTGTGATGACCCTGCACCTGCTGGATTTGACACTAATTCCAGAACCCAGGTAGATAGGATAGAAAGGCTTTTGAGCTTGGGGACATTTTTTCATTTCTTAATAAGTTTTACTATGTGTGCTCTCTCATTCAGCCTTACCTGGCTGAGCTGTCTCTAGCCAGGACAATTATTTAATCGCCTAACCTGATGTGAAAGGTCATACTGTATAATCACTAACACCTGTGTAACTTTACCATATGTAACTCTGCCTTGGAAACAGAAGACCCATTACAAACATTTAAACTGGAGTGGAGAGGCATCCCAGCCTCCAGGTCCAAGGGTTAAGTCTATGTCCTCTCCTGATGGAGAAGTAGCAACCCTCTGCGACAACAGTCTGGGTGGGTGTGGTCTCTCCTACGGGAGCAAGCCAGAGCAAGCCCCTGTAATTCCTGATCCGGGTAAAGGAGAAGGGAAGAGTGAATGTCTCTTATTCAAGCAGGCTATTTCCTCCTGCTGGTTTTCTGTGGGTGGCCCTCTGACTGGAGACTAAAACCTAACCAGGCTAAGTGATGCATGCCTGGAATCCCAGCATGCAGGATCTACCAGGACAGCCAGAGCTACATGATGAGATCCTGTCTCCAAAAATAAAATAAAATCAGAAAACAACACGAAAGCAGTCTGGCACTTCACTTGATATCTTCTTTCATTTTATTTATTTATTTTTGAGACAGAATCTCACTATGTAGCTCTGGCTGTCCTGGAACTCATTATGTAAACCAGGCTGTGTTTGAACTCTTTTTTTTTGAAGGGGGGTGGGTTTCAAGACAGGGTTTCTCTGTAGCTTTGGAGCCTGTCCTGGAACTCACTCTGTAGATCAGGCTGGCCTTGAACTCAGAGATCCACCTGCTTCTAACTCTTGAGTGCTGAGATTAAAGGTGATCGCCAACATGCCCCACCCTTTACATAGTATGTTTTTTTTTTTCCTTTTTATTCACATAGTATCCTAAAATCAAAACTTTGGGGAGGGGTTGGTTTTTCATGAGGGTTTCTCTGTGTAGCCCCAGCTGTCCTGGAACTCACTTTTTAGACCAGGCTGGTCTCAAACTCAAAGATCCACCTGCCTCTGCCTCCCAAGTGCTGGGATTGAAGACATGCACCACCACCTCCCGGCAAAGTCAAACATTTAAAAGTTGTCCTTGGGGCTGGAGAGATGGCTCAGAGGTTAAGAGCACTGGCTGCTCTTACAGAGGTCCTGAGTTCAATTCTCAGAAACTGCATGGTGGCTCACAACCATCTGTAATGAGGTCT